TCAACTCCTTGTTTATCTTATGTTTTAGTTTCACCTACAATGACATAAATGTGTTCCACATTTGGTTGTGTTATCACTTTTTTGTTACCTGAATTTTTTGTTTCTTACTTAAATCTTATATCTAACACATATGTATTTACAACAATTTTCATGTATACTGATTTGATTTACAACGGGAATTCAATTTCGATAAAATTAGGAGAAAGTCAAACATGGGCTTAAAAAAGGTTAGAGTGTGTTTGTTTGAGTGATTTGATTTAATTTCTACTGTTCGTAAATTTTTCTTATAAAAATATCAAACCGTACACCTATTTCTTTATTTTTTATACTAAATTAAAATTTAGTTTTATATTCAAAGTATTACATCAATTTTTATTTATATTACATCAAATATATATCAAGTTCAAAATTTTACTATTCAAATCAACTATTATTATAACGATGAAATTTTGATGCTTTGAATCGATGCATACCTAAAATAATTTCAATGGTCTAAATTGATTTTTGCAACCGATAATATCTCATCATTTTCATTGTACTTATGTAATTTTGCACTTCTGCTTCTTTGCAATATCAATAACAACTTCATCTACGTAGTTACAATATCTTTTATAGCACACCATATAATACTTATAAAACAACAACTTCTTGTGGAGATTCAAAATTTTCTCTCCACAAGTAACCAAATAGTAATAAAAACTAATTTTGTATAAATGATAATATCAAATAGTTATATTATAAAGCAAAAGGATCAACCATTGATAATGCTATAAGGTTAAAAGATTCAATGACAACCTAATTTAAATAGTTATAATATTTTCGATAGAAAAATATGTAAGACATATCCAAAAGAAAATGTCTTAGAGATCCATCAGATGTTGGAACGGTTCAAGTAAATCCACAGTCCACTGAAATTATGTATCACACCCAATCATTATTCAATTATATTTTTATGATTACGTAAAAAAACTACTTGCACGATAAAAAAAGAAGAATCCGATATATGATTAAGGCATACCACAAGATGTGTGAAATTAGTAATACAAAATACTTACATGGTAGCCATAAGATTCAATAACCAATTGCACAAGAAGATCAAAGCATTTACTCGATATAAAACAAGCATTAAATCAATCTAACAGTTCTTATATTTATGTCTTCTCTTCGGATGACTAATTGTTTCTCATTTTCGAAAGCCCCAACTTTAAGACGGCCTCAGCTTCCAAAGACTCCGGCAACCTTGCACTCTAGATTTTAGATCTACTCCGGAACAACCTTGAACATCCTTTATTCTCTTCTACCGACGATGGATAATTATGGACAAACTCTATTGGGGTGCAAACTCAATCCCATATTTAAAAAAAAAATTAAAAAAATATCCACCCCTTGTAAGTCTCACGTCTAACTCCGCTAATAGGTGACATTTTAGAGGAAATTAAAAAATAAATTCGTGTGAGATCGGCCTAAAGTGGAAAATATTATATTAATGTTGAATTGGGCCAGTCCCATCAACTTGCATTAAAGCCGGGTTCGAAAGAATAAGTTGGTGAAGTGGTGGAGTGGATTGGACAAAATTGGGCATTGATTGTGGGTAGAGGTCGGCACGGTTCGGTTATTTGCAAATATATAGGTATTTGATATCCGAACCGAACAAATACTCGAAGCCGCCGTATAACCGAAAATTTTGATTAACCTAAAATATTTGCAATATTTACAAATAACTGAAAAAATATATTTAAAAGTAATTAAAATTCTAATTAAATAAAAAAAAATATTTGCAAATATTTCAAATATCCGAACCGAAATTGAACCGAATATAATTATTAATATAAATTTTAAAATATAATAAGATAAATAGATAAATATATTTGTTTCAGTTAACCGAACCGAAAAATATAAAAAACCGAAACAACCGAATCGAACAAATATCAAATATGCAGTATTTGTATTCGAATCGATTTGCTCGATTAACCAAAAATTCGGTTCGGTTCATTTCGATTCAACAGTTTGGTTCGATTGTTTTGCCAACCCCCAATTGTGGGAAATTTGACTTTGTGATTGAAATCTGTAGAGGTGGTCGGTTGGACGGTGTTGGTCCTCACAATTTTGGTCAAACAACATATCCCTTTTTGATATGTGGTACAAGATAGGTTGATCGGTGTGAATACACCGGATGAGAGGCCATGATTGATATGGTCCTTTGTTTAAGGAGATATTGTTGGACTGCAAACTCATGTCTCACAATGAAAAATTAGAAGAAATACATACGCAATATAAGTTCCATACCTAATTCTACTAGTATGAGGTTTTCTTAAAGAAGTTCAAAAATAAACTTGTATGGACTTAGTCGAATACAAATAATATTATACTAATGTTGAGTTGTTTTTAGTTCAACCCAAATTCAGAATCCAATTTTTACCTTGACCCAACACGACACGGCCCGACCCAAAGACAAACACAACCCGTAATTGATTTATTCAATTCTCACCCAAATTGAAATTCAATATTATATTTATCGAGATTGATTTTATGCCCTTTTCTTCGCAATAAGGCTCAAATTTGTCTCTCCTTAGAGTTATTCCAAGTGTGTTCCAACTTCCTTGTCTATTGGATAAGTTAAGTTCGGTCCTTAAATTTATTGGTTTATCCATGTTTCTTTTTGCCTATAGAAGGGCGTGTTTGAACCGAGGGATGGTAGTGTGTGGCGGCTTTATGTCCGAATAACCTATCCTACCTCATTCTTCATAAAATTCGTTTCGAGAATCTTTGTGTGATTGATCTCGGTTCTGCCTTTATGATTCACTTTTATAGGATAATTTTAGAGTTTGGATTACTATGTGAAACCACGATTTCTTCTCCGTTTCTGGGTGTTTCCTCATATGACGATTTGGAGTTTGGCACAGAGTGGTTGTAATCTGAGCGGACGACTACTACCAAAAATTTTAGATACTCCCTCCGCTCACGTACAAAGTAAACATTTATTTTTGGCGCGGTGTTTAAAAAATAATAGTATTTTAATTATATTGGATAGTTAAAAGTAATGTAATGACATTTTTGCTCTTACTTTTTTTTTGTGTAAAATTAATAATGTAATGTAAAATAAGAATATTTTGTGGAAAAAATGTGAGGTATTTAATGAAACGTTTACTTTGTAATTGGAGTTCCAAAATAAAAATATGTATACTTTCTAGTTTGACGGAAGAAATACTTTATTTGGATTATAACACTAATTTTTTTGTTCCATTTGAATTAATATATTGATTCTTATTAATAAATTTTATCCGCTAACTTGCTACGAATCTATTTGTGAGAGTTATTTGATTGCAGGAACAACAAGTAATGATCGCATGGATTAGAATTCCCAACTAATCCAACTCTTCTAGTAAGACAACAACACAATTTTACTAGTATGACATGTCTGTCGAACCTAATTTATAGATTTATCCAGTGCGCACTTTCGCTCATTGTCCTTTCGATCTATCTTTGTGAAAGGGAATTATAAGAACAAATGGTCAGAACTTTATTCAAGAGGGTAACTGCAACAACAAAAGATGAAGAAGGGTAAAATAATTTTTTAAAGTGAAAAATTGTATAGATTGGTATATACACGTTTGATTTTATTTAAGATGGTGTAATTTAATAAGTAATAATAGTACATTATGATATTACTCTTCCCGTCTCATATAAAATTTGAATTTTTTCTATTTTGGTTAGTCTCACGTAATTTGTTTTTTTTTTAAAAAAAAGTATGATTATCCATTTTAATCACATTTATATTTTATAATTTATAATTTTATAATTTTAATTAAATTATTTATTAATTTTTAATTTTAATTTTAACCTATAATTATTTTTATTAATATACTTTTTAATTACTTACTAACTTTATTTTATTTAAATTCTTATGTTTACGGTAATATGGACATTTTATTGTAGGCAGAGATAGTATTTTATTATTTTTTTTATGAGAATGATGTTATTGGTAGTTTTAAATAAAAATTAATATACATGATTAAAAAATTAAAATGTATATTTAAATATTTTAATTATTATATCTCAATAAAATACATATAATATAAATTTTCTATTGTAAAGAATAAAATTTTATATAAATACAAATTAATACCAAATATATGTATTTTTCTTAATTAATATAAATTAATTTTATAAAAATATTGTATAATATCTACTAAAAAATCTTGTGAAATTTTATAAAAAAACCGAGAGTCAAAATTTTTAATTTATAAGAAAAAATTATGGAAAATTTTCAAATTAAGAGTGCACGTAAATTTGCAGATACAAAACTCCATCTGTTCCTTGGCATTTTTATAAGTAGATTGAAAATTAATAATATATTATTGATTAATATAAATATATAAATTTTTTAAATATTTTTTTATTTAATTTATTAAAAAAAATACTATGGGATAGAAGAAGTATACCAATTCTTCGTAAAAAAAAATATATATATAGGCTAAATTGCACAAAATTTACTCGTGGTTCCATGAAATTGCGCCAAATTCTCTATACTTTTAAAACTGGGTCACACTTCTTCGTGGTTTCATAACTCTGCGTCTAACCTCCTAACCTCCTCGACGCTCCTTATTTTTCGGTATTTGACTTAAACGTGCCCAAACTGCAAATAAATTTTAGAATTTCAATTTCTAAACCTCTAAAATTACAAATATATTTATTTTTCTTATATTTAGCTAAAAAATAGTAAATATATTCAAAATTAGCTATTTTTTTCAGCTTTTAAGAGTTTATTTTTACTGTATTTTTAAGGTAAATATAAAAAAAATAAATATATTTGTAATTTTAGGGGTAAAGAAATTGAGATCGTAAAATTTATTCGCACTTTTGGCGTATTTAGTTCAAATACCGTCAGAGAGAGTTTGTTTGACGCAATTTCGTAAATATTTTGTGCAATTTAGGCAAAAATATATTTAAAACTAATAATAATAAATAAAATTAAAATGCAAATGCAATAACAAAGGGAATGTACACAAACCATTAATATAATGCATTCGTTCATATAATACCATCAATAATTACTATCTTTCCTTTCCGTCTTCCTTAGTCGCAGAAGCACGCGGAGCCGTACGGTGTTGTTTCCTCCACCCGATCAACATGGTATCCGCCTCTTTTTTTTTTTTTTTCCTGTCGATTTCTTGCTTTTCTCCATGTCTCGCTGTTTTTGCTCGAATCACTGCAATCGAATTCCGTTGTTGCAACATAATATCGACTGTTTCTTTTATTTTTATTTCTACAATGAGCTTCGTTACCTGCGACAATTTCTAAGATGTAATTGAAAAGTTGAAATCTCTGATAAATTACTGGTTTAAGGGGTTCCCTTTAGGGCATAAGCATCGAAGATTTAATCCGGTCCATCAAGTCAACATCTAGGAATCCCTAGTTTAGTCTTCTTTTTGGATTTCCATTGTGAGCCCTAGTTGATGATTATTGAAAATCTTTTTTTTTTTTTACCACTTGTTATCAGCCGGTCTAACTGTTTATAGTTTTAGATTCTCTAACTGTCTTCCTGTGATTGTCTATCAATGGCATGTAATTTTTCAAAATATGAATGATATCAGTCCTGATAGGGGTGTTAATTTTGTGTATTTTAGATGATTCTCCATTGGTGCTGAGCTAACTATAGCAATTACTTGGGGGAATTTCTCACTATTTGTATGAATGTAATGAGCCTAACCTTTTCATTGTAAAATTGTTTGTTTGGTTACCGGTAGAGTTTTAAGTTGGAAATTGAGTTGGAGGGGATTTATTTAATTTATATTTAATTTATGATATAATAAATATAGGGTTAAAAGAAATTTAAAAGATTTATAAAATGTTCTAAAAACTATATCTAAAAATATAAATAAGTAATGTATATATGATTAACATAAATTACTTTTATAAAAAATGAGAAGGTTTGAATATATATAAATATGTTTGTTCATTGAGGAGAGACGGATATAGAATATTCTGAATGGGTTCCACATAGTGTAATATTTGAAAAAAAAAAGTTGGGAGCAAAATGCCGACTTAAACTTTAACCGTAAGCAAACACACCCTCTTGATTCCCGCTGAAAGTAGGTGCGCTAGTCTGTGTTGAGTATTGTATTTGCACCAAAAAATCCGAGTTATAGTATCTTTACCAGTTAACAAATTGATTGGCTAATTGTTCTCGTAGCACCTGCATCATGTCGAATTCGTAGTTGGTAATAGTAAGATACTTCTTCAGGCATAAGTTGTAGGCATTCTTGTTGTCCCTACCATGTGATTTTTTGTTACTTCTTATGTTGCTCTAATGTTTTGCCAATTAGCTAATGTCAACTCTATACTTTCCTTTATTCTCTTTCTCTGTGTCCGGCCTCAATTCTTTTTCTGTCATTTAAGAATTCATTTTGCTTTTGTTGTTTTTTCTTCTAGTCAACTCTTTACAGGGGCATGGCCAGGAAAGATAAACCTAGAGGGCGCCATCAAGGTTTGACTGCCCAGAAAAAGCAGGAGATTAAGGAAGCATTTGAACTGTTTGATACTGATCAATCTGGTATTGAATAATTCATATGTAAACAAATTTTATATTTATTTTATATTTCCTTTCTTAAAGGGTATCTTGTCTTCAAAACCACATACAGGTACTATTGATGCCAAGGAGCTGAATGTTGCAATGAGGTGCCCCCTCCTGAAAGCTTTCTTTAAAACATTGATGTTAGAACTTCATAATATGTATAATTCCAACTTGGTTTATTTTGCAGGGCTCTTGGTTTTGAAATGTCTGAAGAGGTAGTTTACTCATTGTATGCATTTTCTAAAGGAGTTTTATCATATTCGATACTTTAATTTCTGTTCATTGTTCAGATTGTAAGTCTTATTATGCTCCTTCTGTGGCCGAGTAATGATGTTTTGGCTTTTGATAGGACAACTTTGTGTAGATTGTGATCATTAACTTTGGGATGCTCACAGTTTCCAGAATGTTTGACTTTTGCTGCATAGTACTATATATAAACACGGCATCCGAAGTAACCAACCTGTAGAATTCTCTTTAATGTAGTTTTGGAGAAATTATGAATTATATTTATATCAGGTGATGGGCATCTCATTCAATGATGATGTTGTTTAGCTCCAAGTTTTGCTTTTAATTTTTCAATGAATCCCAACTTTAATAACTAAGGAGTGTAGGAGTTTCTCAATGTTACCCAGCTTTGTTTCTCAATGGATCTCAGCTTCCCAAAACCCTAAATACTTCTAGAATGTAGAGGCAAGAAGGGATATGACGAATATGCACTAGCACTTTAAAAGCATAAGTTATTCTATTTCAATTAGGTGTTTCCTTGCTTCAAATAACCCAATAAACATGACTGGGGTAAATGGTCTCTTGTTCTTAATTGATCTTAAATATAGTTATTAGCAACATCTTTAACTGAGAATGTTAGCTTATGTTACTGATAGGACATCTACACCATAGATTGACTATTTCAACATTTCATCTCTGTAATATTAATAAGCATTAGTGAAATGCATTTTTTGGACAATGTTCTTATGTACTACTTATTTCCAGACATAATTTCTGGTTGCTTCCTTACTAACTGATCATGGTCACATCGTTCGATTGTTTTGATTCTTTTGCTCAGGAAATTACTCAAATGATAGCTGAAGTAGACAAAGATGGGAGTGGTTCAATTGACTTTGAGGAATTTTGCCACATGATGACAGCCAAATTTGGAGAGAGGGACACCAAACAAGAGCTCATGAAGGCCTTTAACATTATCGATCAAGATAAAAATGTGAGTTTGTCTTGTCATTTGCTTCGTTTCTCCTTGTTGACTACATAGTTCAGGTAGAGTTAGATTAGGTAGGATTAGTAGATTTTATCTATTTGGATAGACTTGTAATTATATATGTATGTAACATTGCTTGTGTTAAGAGAAGGCATCGTAATAGAATTTAGAGCTGATCTTGCAGGTTGGGCCAATTGGGTATGATTTTTTGAATGAGTTGCTATTCGGTAGTGTTCTTGATTAGTGTTCGGGTTGAGCGAAAATCACCCAATTACCATTTTGATTACACAGTAACTGCTCCCCGCTGGCTGATTTGCCATTGTCTGGACACTATCCTGCGATGCATCATCTAACAACGCATAACTCTCACCCGTCATTTATACCCACCATTGTTTGCCACACCTTGCCTCTATCATCCAACTCGCAATTTCCGACTGCCTTCTGCCTTGTGCTGACAAAGCTGCTGACTCTTTGTAACAAGTCTAAATATAAACTTGGAGATGTAATTCACCAAAGTACTAATTGAGTATGACTCAACTATGCTTGTATCAACTTGGGCATGCTAAATATATATGCTCATAGAGTTAGATTAAGAGAGGATTATTAGAGTTTATCCATTTGTATGAACTCTTGGATAGACTCCTAATTATAGCTATATGGTGTGTATCCTCACTTGTGTTAATAAATCCTATTCACATAACACTCCTATTCATGTTCGTCTTCTTCATATGAATGCAGGGAAAGATTTCTGTTGCTGATATTCAGCGCATTGCAAAGGAACTGGGTGAAAACTTCACTGAAAAGGAGATACAAGACATGATTGATGAAGCAGATCGGGACCGTAAGTTCTCTCCATTTGACTTAGCTTCAATACTTGTTAGGTAAATTTGCTTTAGTAATGTTTCTAAATAAGAATTGCTGCACAAGTTCCAACACTACTTACTAAGAGTGCTTTCTTGTGTTTTGGATGTATTGAGTATTTTTTTATTTGAAAATATTTAATGGAAAGTAGGTGATAATTGTAAAATTTTGAATGGAAAACAAGCTGTGGATGTAATGTTTTAAATGGAAAATAAATGTTGGATGGCTATGATTTATAGGAAAAAAGTATTTTACCGTAGAATACATACAAAACGGGAAGAAAAGATTGAAAACATAAACAAACACACCCATCATTGTCACGCTGCTCTATGAGCAGGAATATTCATTAAAGTGTAAATATTTCTCTCCAGATTTGCATCGTAACACACATTCACGTTCATGTTATTCTAACCCCCACCTGCCTACTCAAATACCTCATCTCAATTGAGTGCTGTTTGTCAAAGTATTAATACCTTAAAGGTTGTTATATCTGGGGGATCGAATATTATCTGCTATGGTTATGGATACTAGTTGTACTTTTATACTACCAGTAATAATATCTGTAGATGAATTGCACAAACAGTTCTGCTCTGCAGAATAACATTCTGGTGGTACATATATTGTTGTCATAATTAATGTGCATTCTATAGTTCAAAAGTAAATGATTTTACTTCTGCCTGTCTTGGCTGTATGAGGGACAGTTTAAATTAATCGATCTACTCAAGTTACATTTTAATAAAAACTCACATTAACCTATTTCCCAATCTATAAAGACCCTGACTAAATGATATGTTTTTGTTTAAAAAAATGTACAGGTGATGGTGAGGTAAATGCTGACGAATTCATGAGAATGATGAGGAGAACCTCATATGGGTACTAAATCACCTCCACTGCCGAACTCAGAGTAATTATCTTCTACTTTTCTTGTTTCATTGAATATGTGACTTGGAGAGTCAAAAGAATCATTGCCAAAGTTTGTTGTTTAGGTATGTTGCTTGATATCATTCCATTTTATTTATTTATTTATTTTTTAAAAAAAAAAAGAAGAAAGAAAGGCATCGACATAGGCATCCCTTTCTTTTGGGGTTGGAAAGAATTATTGACAGCAGTACAGCAGCACATTCAAATTGCACCGGCATTTATGACTTGTTAAGCATTTACATAAATGAATGGATTTGAAATTCGAATGTTTTTGTCCGGATATAAACGGGATCCTGCTTCTGTTGGGGAGGTTTTGCCATTAGTATATCTTTAAAACTCTGCCTGCTTTAATCTGGGAGTATGAATTATAATGATGCTTCACATTTTTGCTGCGAATTTATTACGATCATTTGAAATTGCATTTTCTATACACTTAGGTGTGTTGCCATTCACGTTATAAGCAGAATATATTAATTATCGTTTATTCTTAGTTTCTTAGAACACATAGAATGTGACTTTGCAATTTCATTTGGGATTACAAATTGTGAAATGAGCTGAGAGTTTCTCATGGATAATAATCCTGATATCTCTTGTTGTTGTCATACCACAGGTTATGAAGGAAGGAACTGGGAATATTAGTACGGAATACTTTTCTTGGGGTGGGGTGAGGTGGGGTGGGTTGTATGATGCATTGAATTAAGGTTAAACTTTTGTTGATGATACCAACAAGGCTTTGATTGTAAAGTTTTATGTACCTTGTGATGTGATGATTATATTGAAGTAATATTATAAAACAAATATTTCTTCCAGCTTCTTTTGCTACATTGATGGAAATTTTTATTTTTATTATTATTCTTCTGTTGCTTAATTACGTTTGCTAAGTGACTTACCTAACCTAGTAATGCAAGTTTTGTATAAGGAAAAAAATAATATGAAATTAAAAAATAAAGTATTTAATATGATATATATTTTTTAATGTCAAAAAGTTATTTTTTTACTCTCCCCTTATTGCGTTTCATCTCATGTTATTATAATTATTTTTTTTAAGAAGGATTATATTAATTAATTATTTATATTATATCGTAATTATTTTTATTAATAGATTTTTAATTATTTATTAATTATATCTTAAAATTTTTGTATTTGGATACGGTAATGGGGAGGGGTATTTAGTAATGTTGGAACAAATAACAACTTTACTCCACATTATTAGATCATAATTATGTCAGATTTTTTCACTTACGCACAATCCGTAAATAATTTTGATTTTATTTGCAAATATTTTTTTTTCGGCAAATTAAACAAACAAACTCTTTATTTACCAATAATTTTATTAATAAATAAGAATTAATTTGTCATTATTCTTTTTATTTATCACATCTATCTTTTTATTAATTCTTTAATATATATTTTTTATAATACAATCATTTTATTTTGTTATTTATTTCATTTTTATATTAACCTATTATTATTTTTTAATTTTTTTATCCAAACAAAGTAGCATAATTAGCTCCGAGGGTAGAAGTACATATTATTGTTCAATTGATATGCAAAAGAGGACAAATAACTAAAATATCAAGAAGATTGCCTTGTTTAAAATCATACTCCCTCCGTCCCACATAATTTATTCCTATTTTCTATTTTCGTCCGTCCCACATAATTTGTCCTTTCATTTTTCGGAAAATTAATTATACACTTTAATCATATTTTAAATTTTAAAATTTAATTTTTTTAATCTTAATTAAACTATTTAGTTATTTAAATCTTAATTTATAATTATTTTTACTAAATAATAATTATTTTTACTAATATATTTCTTAATTAGTTACTAATTATACTTTACCTAAATTCTCGTATCTACGGTAATACACTCATATTACATGGGACGGATGGAGTATTATAGAGATATATTAGGAAGGTATTTGGTGAAAAAAAAAAATTATTTATAATAACTTTTAATTTTCACTAAAAACTCTACCGTACAATTGAGCATACTTTGTTAGCTTTGACACCTTTAGAGCAAAAACAGTGGCCCAGTGTCTAAATCAGAGTCGAAATTGGGGGAGATGGTTTCGAATGGTAAGACCATCTGCAATAGGCGCATCTCCTCTCGTGCCACATCACTATTTTTTTTTTTAAAAAATAAAAATAAATAATAGATATTATGCAGAGATGCTGAGAAGATGTTATTCAATCGTCATGTGTCGCAATTTATAACACTTAATGTATATATGTATATATATATATGATATATATTTTGTTTTTATAATTTATATTAATTTATTATTATATTTAATTTTTTTAATATTTTTATAATTCATAATATTTTGTATTCTACGAAATGATACCATTATTGAATATATTTTATCAATTTAAAATTTAAAATATATAAATACAAATATAATATAATTCTATTGAACAAATCAATATTAATAAATTTAATTTAAATTATTAAATAAAATAAAATTTTAAATTTTAAAGCAATTAAATAATATAAAATTATAATTCAAAAATAATATATATATATATAATATGAAAATAAAAATTTATTAAAAAATTCGGATGAGTATCTCTGTTGCTAATATAAAAATAGAAGAGAGTATCTCCATTACAAAAAGTAGTGGAGATACCCAAAAGCAGTATCTTCATTGTGGATAGTCTAAGACCGTGTGTTTGATCTTAGGTTTCACGTTCACAATTTTATAAAATAAATAATTAATTATTTTAATTAAAATTTTAAATTTAAAAATTTATAAAAAAATTAATGTGTGTAATAATTTTAGAAAACACTAAAATTAACATAAATAACAATATATACACAATAAGTAAAACAAAGAAAATAGTAAAATTTATAATTTGAAAAAAGAAAAAGAAAAAAAAGAAGTCTTTACTATTTAAAATTTAAACCCATAACTCAAACAAATACACCCATATCGTTCAGTCAATTTTCATATACGCTTGAATATATTTTTTATACGTGTAAGTTTTTACCTAATTCAACCATTTATATAATACTTTTATAAAATCATACTGTATTATTATTTAATCAATGACTGATATATAATGTTACCAAATTGGAGGACCTACTTGCAATCTTTTTGCTACTTTTGGGCCATTGATGGACAATACCCAAAGATTCGAGCCATTTCCGGAATTTCAAATTTTAATCCAAAAATGCGATGCGACCATGAATTACCCTGAAGATTAATTAAAAATAAATTATTATTCGATAAATAGTATTATATTATTATATTTCATTAATATGTTCCCCCAATTTCCGAATTTGCAAAGGTAAGGTCGTGATTCCAATCTCGAACTGCGAAAGACGAAGGAAGGAGAGTTCCACTTCAATCGACGGGAAATGATCATCTGAAACTTCTCTGTACGGCACTCTGTAAGTTGTTTCTACTGTTCTATATGTTGTGTATCGATGGACGGATTCATGGTTCATTTTATTTGATGTTATGTTATTTTCCCTGTTTTTCTGATTTCATGTTTTACAATCGGACTTGTTTCTCGAGCTTCGATTAGGATGCTGAAAGTAAGTAAGAGACGCTGTTGAGTTGTGGGATTTGTTTGATATAGCCTGTTTGTTTGTTTGTTTTTTAGATTAAGGTGGCGATAATGGAGGGGGGGGGGGGGGGGGAAGTTGCTGTGGTTTTAAGCCTTTTGTTTTGCGTTACTTAACCTCTTGGAAAGGAGTCTCGTCTGTCTCTGTAACTGAAATCTATCTTTGTGAAATCTTGCTGCTGTTGCGTTATGGATATTTGAATTGAACGAGTCCCAAAATTTAATTTCTCTTTTGCGCAGCGCAGCGGCCATTATGGATTCCAATAGCCATCCCTTTGAGGAGGATGGCCTTCCGGTGCTGCAGTTGCGGAAATGGGATCCTTCTGAATTTCCGTACAGTCCTTCTGATTTCAGAGAAGGTTTTATTTCTCCAACTCGGATGTCATTGTTGCTGCTTTCTTATGATTCAGAGGGATTATTGTTTCCCTTAGTTAGAGGTGATATTCTACCCTCCATTTGATGCTTGCTTTTCAGTTTTCACGTCATATCTCAATCATGTTTATGTGTTTTATTTAATTATTTATTGTTTTTATTATTATGCATTCCATATTACAGGGAAATCGTTGATTAATAATGATCCTGAAGTTAGCCATGAAGAAACAGTTTCTGATACACCGAAACATAAAGTTTCTAGTTCATCTGAATTTGTAGAGTTGGATAGCCGTGTTGACAATGTATCGGGAGCTAGTTCCTCAGGATCCGCTGATGCATTCATGTCTGATGTAGAATCGGTGGCATGGGGTCTATGTGTAGACACATGCGATCAGCATGAAGAAACTTCATTTCGAGAGCTACTTTTTGTTTCTGGAAAACACGGGGTGATTGTACATGCTTTTTCTCACTTTAATGAATCTTGTAAAGCAATCAAACCAGCACATGCGAATCGTGTTGGGCCCGGATTGTGGGTGGAGTGGGGTCCATCGATGGAGTTACCTCCTAATTTGGACCTCGAGGGAGAGTCAAAATGTCATCTCGAGGCTTCTGGGGAATTTTCAGGTTCTCATGCAGACTTTATGGATGGTGATCAATCAGTGAGTTCAAAGGCATGGTTGCGCACCTTTTACACTAGAGTTGATAGACTAACATCCGGTAATGATGTATATACAAAGTTTCCGCAGAGATCTTTATTTCCCGATAATGCAATTATTTCATTTAGGATACTTGAGGAGGACACACACTTCCTGGACCTTCTTCAGCGTAGTACCGCATCATGTGATAAACCTAATGACAATATTTCAGCTTCAGTAATTAATAAACCAGATACACATCCAGATTCCCGCGTCTCAACAACACTGGATGATAGTGCTTCTAACTCTCGAGGTGGTGCAGTGAACAGTTTGTATAAGTGTGTTAAAGTTTTCTCTAATAATTCTTACCAGTTAGTTGGATTTGCTCTATCTCTGACGACCCCAATGGATGTAAGTACTGGCAATGGAAATGATGAAAGCCATATCAAAATTCTTATTGCAGTGGCCAGACTTGTTAGCTGGGGATTACAGTGGGTGTATTCTATAAATCTTAAAGAAAATCTTGATAGAGGTCCATTTGAGTGGGTAGACTTCTCTTTTTCTCACAGTTTTCTTGTTTGTCTTAGTTCTTGTGGCCTGATCTCATTATATGGTGCCTCAACTGGGGCATATGTTGCATCAGTCAGTGTTATAAATAAAACTGGACCTGGCCGTTCTCCAAACTCCCTGGAGCAATATAGTGATGACATTCCCAATAAAAGAAGCTTTAAGAGGTTGTTTGTGTTTCCTCATTCCTCACTGGTGGGCGTGATAGATGATTGTGGTGTAACCTATACTTTTCGTATCTGTGATCATGTTCCAGAGGAACATTTTTCATCTGAACATACCCTTTCTTATCAACATTGCCTAGGTATTGGACCTCTAAATGCGTGGGAGGTTGGTGGTGCTGAAATTGGTTACCAAAGGGTACTTCATAATGCACACTCCCAGGGCATAAGTAGATCATTGAGGATGGGTAAAACTTCTTATTTTACAGATAGTTTACTGGGAAATGAAAATCGGACCAGCAAAGGTACTGATATCAGATGTCCAAGGAATACTTATGCTTTAAATATTAACACCTCTTCTGGCTCAACCCAGATAATGAATCAGAAGAAGTTTATAGGTTCTGATATTCAATCTTCTCTTTTGCGGAAAGTATTTCTACTTCCATATGGATACAGTGAAGACAATATTTATTGCTTTTCTCATTTTGGAATCACTTGTCTCATTAAGAGACAGAGTGGTGAGAAGAAATGGAGTCAAGTTGTGCATTACAATCTACGATTAGATTTCATCATGAACGATGAAATGAACTGTAATTTGCAAAGTCGAGAAACCTCTTCTATTGAAGCTGTGGGCTGCAACTTTAATGGGTTTTTATATTTGGTGACAAAAAAAGGTTTTTCAGTTGTTCTTCCTTCAATTTCAGTTCCAACAAATATTTTCCCTGTTGAAGCAATAGGATATTGGCTACCAAATTGCACAGCCAGATCATGGTGTTCTGCTGGAAATCTTATGGAGATATCTGGAATTGACAAACATTTGTCACCCTGGAAAGTAGAGGTTTTGGACAGAGTTCTTCTATATGAGGGTCATGAAGCTGCAGAGAAGCTATGTTGGGAAAATGGTATAGGTGCCCTTACCAATAAATATCACATGCAAACTATAAATGAATGCTTTTTTTCAGGGGATGAGTAATATCTTTGACCGTTTGAGAAAATTAATTGTAAGCTTGCTTCCGGAGAAAACCTTGTAACTAGTTTTGTTGTAGAACTAAAAAAATCTTTATGAAATTTTACTCCAGTTATATGAGAATATTCACATGCAAATGTAATATTATTGCTAATTAAAACATTTTAATTTCTCATATTCTCTTAAGAAATAATCACGGTGATTTATTTCAAACCAAACTTTGAAATGAGTCTTTTTATTTTATCCTTCTTTTGATGATTGATGCAATGCATGTTGCTAATTGTTTACTATGATGTATTGTTGAAATGTCAATTTTGTGTTTGCGTAGCATGGAGGTTGGAAACTCATAGGCTATGTTTGTATAAACTCAGTGTAACATCTTACATATGGTCATATGGTGTTGAAGTAGTAAGATCTAGGAATAGATGAAGAATACCGCTTTTGGAATTATGTGATTGGAAATTATGCAGTTAATTCTAAAGGGGAAACATGTTCAAGGGTGCTCTTATAGGATGATGAGGTGTAGAAAGTGGTATGGGAACTTAACGGACTTAGCAAATTTCCCCTTGAATAGCGTTAGAGAATGCGGACGACACCTTTAAGGCGGATCATCTGCCTGAAATAGCTTGCTATGAAAGAAACTATGCAGTTCCAAAAGTTTCTTTGTGCTTGTTTGTTCATCCAGTGAAGACATAATTTGAGCCATTCCATGTATTTATGGAAGTGCATTTGTCCTTTATTGTTTTTGTCTTTTTTCTTCTGATACCATTCTTTATGGATGCTATGCATGTGTAGTTATATATAGTTAAGAAGTAGTACATAAGAAAGAATTATATTTAACAGATAAATGTGATTGTTTACAGGTTTGAGCCTTCATATTTCTCGGATCCGGCGCCTGCAATTGGCTTTAAACTATCAAGAATTTGATGAAATTGAGACGTAAGAATTTCTTGTTGTTAGATAACTACTCAATATTATATTTCAAATAGCAGCATAATGCAAAATATACTTAAGTTTCTACTTGTAGTCTTGGATCGATTGGTACTTCATTCCTTATTCTACTTTCAACTGAAAGATTCTGTTGATGAACTTGTGCTTCTGACTTGGCTAAACAGTTCTTTAGGAATGCTTATGGGGGTCAATTTAGAAGCAGAAGGCATCTTGAGGTTGATCTTTGTTGCAGTTTATTTGATGTCACATGAAGTTAGCAATGATAGTGCAATATCAGCTGCATCGAGGTATGGCATGTGTTGTTTTTACTGTCCACTGTATTAATAAGTGGTTACATTGGACTATGGTTGTTTTTGGGGCTGCTGAGGTTTATTTCATTCCTTTCTTACCCTTAGAACTGGAAATTACTATTTTCTCATGTCACCTGAATTAGGTTTTGAAAGGTGTGGTGGATGCTATTATGCTAACTAGACTAACGGGCCCATTGATTTTATTGTTTACCATGCTCTGCAATTAGTGGCAGTAAAAAACATTGAGCTTCCAGTTGTGGCCATTAAGTATCTATTTTGATTGAAGACCAATCATATTATTTTTACCTAGTAGAATTATGGATGCTTCATCCAAGATTGACCATATGAAACTAAAATAGTATAGTCATCATTAATTTGTTTCTCTATTGCATCATATATTCTGGTAAATTTTACACATCTGGAACTGGTTTGCACCCTCAGGTGTGGACTACTGCCCTTCACAAATGTTTTAAATATGTCAATACAATTGGAAAGAACTAAGAAAAGATTGTGTGGCATAAATCAAGTGTAAAGACCACAATATGAATAAGTAGACTTAAATTCAAGATCTGGTGGCAATAGGAAAGTATGGTGGTCGACTGGTCGGTGTATTGAATATGTAATTGTATTGATTAATAAATTATTCGCATTATGTTTTTGTATGTCCCCAACATTGTGCTCAATTAAATGTCAGTTTGCTCTTTCCAATTATTTGGTAATTTTGAGTTATTAGATTTCAAAAATCCTGATACAGGCTTCTGGCATTAGCTACAAGTTATTCAACTATGGCCATACGTAAATATGGCCTCTTGCAGCACAAGAAAGTAAATTTGAGGTCATGGGATGTCAGAGATAATGAAGGTGCTTTACTTCCACTGGTGTTAACTGATAAAGAAGATGATGAAGAGGGGAACTCCAGAAGGCTTCAGGAAATGTCACACTTTTTGGTTGTGGTTCGTAGGTTGCAGGGACAAATAAATGCCAAATTCAGAAGACCAGGCCAATCATTGGTAATCTCTTTAATCATTTTCTTATTGTTGGAAGGCAATCATTGTAATTGATGAAATTCTTTGTCATAGATGGGTGATGCAGGATTAAGTGCAGACATTTTAGAGGATGAATCTAAGGGTCCAGTTGTTTCAGAAGATTCCATAATATTGGATAAGTCGGGGCTACCTGAGACCGTACCTCCTGCCTCTGAAGCTGACTCTGCGAGTGAAGACAACCTTTCTTTAGTGCAAGTTGACAAACATGGTGCCAAAAGCCCTGCAGATTTTCTGGGCTTTGATGGAGTTGCCATGGTCTCTAAAGGAGGTGGTTTTGGAAAAAGATCTTTAAAATTTGAAAATCCCAAAGATATGATTGAACGTTGGGAATTGGATAATATGGACCTGAAAACTGTTGTAAAAGATGCATTACATTCTGGTCGTCTTCCATTGGCTGTACTCAGATTGCATCTCCATCGTTCAAATAGTTTGTTGCCTGGGATAGAGGCTCATGATACCTTCAATGATGTTCGAATTGCTGGAAGAGCGATTGCATATGATTTATTTCTTAAGGTTTGTAAATTCTGTTAAGAAGTTTGTAAAGTTATTTCTAGTTATAAAATTGAGAGAACTGATTCACATATTTATCATTGATTTTTCCTATGGATAGGGTGAGATTCAACTTGCTCTAACAACACTACAAAAGCTTGGGGAGGATGTTGAAACCTCCCTGAAACAGTTAGTATTTGGCAGCGTTAGAAGATCTCTTCGAGTTCAAGTTGCTGAAGAGATGAAAAAATATGCATACCTTGAACCACATGAATTGAAGATTTTGGAGATGGTGTCGCTAATAGAGGTATGTGAGGAATTTTTGTGGTTATACCTTTCTAAGATTGCAGGAAACATTGACTTGAAATTGCTTTATCTGCTAACACTATAATGTTTTTGCCAAAGAGGGTATATCCTTGCAATAGTTTCTTCAGTACGCTGGGCACCCGAAAAATGGAGCATAAAGGGGGATCTAATGAAGATAAACCCAACGAGATAAGTCTGCGCCTGCTGCACCCACTCTTGAACAACCTTGTCATTGTTTGTGGTGAGGTAGATGGAGTTGTTTTGGGTCCATGGAAAACTGTTAATGAACATTCTTTTGCTCCTGAAATTGATGACGACAGCAACCATGCTGCCTACTGGACTGCTGCTGTAGCATGGTCAGATGCCTGGGATCCAACAGTTATTGATCGTGTAAGTTATATATGTTTGCATACTCTGTTTCATGTTGTCAATGCCCCTATTTTCACACATGAAGGTTTAAGATGATATCATTACCTTGCTGATGCCCACTGTAAAGCATGGAAATGGTTTCAGAGGATGATTTTTTTTTTTTTTTTCTCAAACCAAAATTAATATTATGCCAATTAGTTTTGTGAGTTACATTTCCAATTTGCTGCATAACGTACATCCGAAGATGTACTTACCAGCTTATTATGTGCACTGAAAAAGTGGGAAGATTGCCTAGATTACTAGATTAATGCCCAGAGTTATTACTAGAATTAAATTTCCATTTTTCACTATCACTATGTGCTCACGTAATTGTAGTGTAAATTTTCAATCTGAACATAATTAATCACTTTCAATCTTCAATTTTGACAGTATTAACTAATTTTCACCATGAATTCCAGATTGTGAATATATTCAAGGCATTACATCAGTTGGTTCTACTAAAAAATATACAATTTCTTCAAGGAAAGACTTTTCTTTTTGTGCAGGTGCTACTGGATCAACCTCTCCTTATGGGGGTTCATGTATTATGGGAATCACAACTTGAGTATTATGTGTGCCACAATGAATGGTTAGAAGTATCCAAGCTGCTGGATGTGTTTCCATCTTATGCACTATCCAATGGAAGCCTTAGCGTTAGGTTGGATGATGTAAATCAAGCTTCATCCATTGAGCAAGGCCAGAAGCCCACTGGAATGACTGGATATAACAATTACACAAGCTTCCTTGAAGAGCCAGATGCTGTGACCATCAGTGTTCCAAGTGTCAGAATATTCAGGTTTCCAGCAAACAGGGCATGCTCAGACTGGTTAAGAATGCTTATGGAACAGCAGCTAGCAAAGAAGTTTATCTTCTTGGCTGATTACTGGGATGGTACAGAAAATATTGTACCTCTTCTGGCTCGCTCAGGTTTTATGGTTGACCCTCATGAGAATTTATTCCTGGATGGAACAACTGGTGGCACATCTGATTCAGTACTAGTTATTGGCGATGCATCAGTGAATCCAGAAGCAATCCAAGCCCTACATAAAGTTGTTGTGCACTTTTGCTCCCAATATAACCTGCTGAATTTATTGGATATTTATCTAGACTTTCATGCCTTAGCCATGGACCAAAATTCTCTTTCCTTTATCTTGGATGCAGCTGTAAGCACATTTATTTTATTTGTTAGCTCAGTCTTCTTCTTCTTCTTCTTCTTCCTCTCTCTCTTTTTCCTGGTTTTCATTTCTGTTGTTGTTCGCTTAGTCTCTTCGCCTTTGTATTGCCTTTATATTAAGCATCAAACAATTACCGAAATTGTTACTTTCACATTATACTTTGTCAAAGTCCTTTGGATATGGTGTTTCTAGCTCTACTTTAGATGGGACATTTGAAATTATTTTTTCTTACTGTGTTTTTTCAGGGTGATAATGAGTGGGCAAGGTGCCTGATGCTGCTGAGGATTAAAGGAAAAGAATACGATGCATCGTTTTCTAATGCCCGTGCAGTTGCTTCCCGTAATTTTACTCTAGGCAAAAAGTTCACTTATCTGGAGACTGATGACATCATACAAGCTGTTGATGATATAGCTGAAGGAGCAGGCGAAATGGCAGCTTTAGCGACATTAATGTTCGCTCCTGTTCCTCTACAAGAATGTCTTAGCAGTGGTAGTGTAAACAGGAATCATAGCTCTGCTCAATGCACGTTGGAGAACCTTAGACCAGCCATTCAAGAGTTTCCTACTTTGCGGAATACACTTGTAGCGGCTTGTTTTGGTCATGATACTGTTTGCAGTAATTTGACTCTTAAGACAAAAGGCAGGTTCTTAGAGTTTTATCTTGTTCTAGTCTTGTCTTTTCCATGCATGAGATACTGTGGGTGTGTTTCTTTTTCACTTGGATTGGGTTTGGAGGTTTGGGCTTTTTATTTGAATAATGCTTGATATGATATTTTGTAAGAGAAAAAAGTTTATTTTTTCGAAGAATGTGGAGTCCAAATAGTAAAATCCAATGTTATCATCTTCTATGGTTCTCTGATTGGTTTACTTTGATACAGTGTCGGGGTATTCTGATTTGATGGATTACTTGAACTGGCGAGAAGGTGTATTTTTCTCTTCTGCACGAGATACTTCAATTCTGCAGATGGTCCCATGCTGGTTCCCTAAAGCTGTTCGGAGACTGGTTCAGCTCTATGTGCAGGTTACTTGAAATTGGCTTTATAATTTAATCTCATTAGTTGATACAATATGTCTGCACATATACTCTGTGCCTTCTATTTTGCTTCCTAAATTGTTTCCCAAACGCATTTGCAGAGTTATACTTATTTTTTTGGTAATGACACTGATGTCTAAACCTGGTTGAATCAGTTTTTGTTTTTGTTTGTTTTTTTCTGCCTCAACAGGGACCCATCGGTTGGCAATCTTTAGCTGACTCTGCCACTGAAGAACTTTCTATACTGAGAGACATTTATTATGTCGTAAATTCAAGTGGTCATGCTCAGATTAGTGCCACATCATGGGAAGCTTCTGTACAAAAGCATATAGAAGAGGAGCTTTATGCATCTTCTTTAGAGGTAGCTGGACACTGTCTCCAATACCCAGTTATTTATGGCAATATATGTTTAAAATCTTCGGCTCTGTTTACTTATGATCTTAAAACTGTTTTTGCACTATTCATCCAAGTATTTTCTTTCTTAAAGATATCACATCAAAACTTAATTTTTATTTAAAATATCACATAGAAAACCTACTCTGCACTCAAAACATTACATCTAACTCCCATTTATATCACATAAGGTACCTATTTTCTATTCAACATTTTACTATTACCAAACCAACCCAAAATCTGGAAAAAAATCTTCCAAAACATATCTCAGCACATCCTTCATCTTATGAAAGTTCATATTATCTTGCCAGATTGTTAGGGATTTGAGATGATATCTCTCTTTTGCAACTGAGGAAACATTGGTTATTAAACATAACGTGTAGATCTGCTTCCCAAATGTTGATTCAAATATACCGGGGTTCTACTCTTCCTCATGTTAACTTGAAATTTTAATATGTTTTATTGACCTCAGGGAGCTGGGGTTGGACTGGAGCACTACTTGCATCGTGGTAGAGCATTAGCTGCTTTAAACCATCTCCTTGCTTCAAGGGTTCATAAGATGACAACTGATAACAGCCAACGGTCACAATCTGGAACCTCCTCAACTGGGCAAGTAAATGTTCACTTGGATCTACAAACAATCCTTGCACCATTAACGGAGAGTGAAGAGTCACTTCTCTCATCTGTGAGTATGAATTGAACTCATAATAGAAGATGGAATGAATTTATCATTCTTTCACAGAACTTGATTTGTGTTTGATCTGCATGTTTCCTTGTTTTTCTTTTGAAGAATATGGTTCTGATTGGTTTTTGTTGAACCCAGAGGACAACTGTTCTAATTTTATTTTTTTTGCAAGTGTGTGTAATAGGTTAAGATTCATCGTGTTCCCTCTCTCTATCTCTCCCTCTCTTCCTCCATTATCTGTGTTGCTACCATACATTGCATAAGTTGTGTAATTAGTGTAACTACATTCTTTTTTTTGAAGTCAACGGCTAGAATCTTCTTATAATTGAGCACACATCTTATTATAAGGGAAGTCCTTTTGCCTTTTATACAATGCCTTTGCTCTTTGTGTTGAGTTAATTAAACATGAGAGGTTTGAAAAGGGTTGAGAAAACTGTGAAGGATTGATAATTTTGTTTCTATGTCACCACTTCAGGTGGCGGTCATTTCAGATTCAGAGTCCATGTTCTAGTAGATTAACATATCATCAAATAGAAAATGAGTCCAGCCGGTATGCAAACCAAAACCCAGTATGGCTACAAAGAAAAAATAAAGAATAAAATGGACACTACATGGAAGAAGAGTTTCGAACATGGGACTTCACTACTAATATATGTTCATTAATAGGCACGAGATTAGTCTCCAGATGTCATCAAACCTTACTACTATCTCACATATGTTTTTTGAGCCCACTACTATTGACTGGTAGACTAGTTAGAAGGACACTATAATGAAGAGATTTATAATAGTGTTCCCACTAGTTTTTTAAGTGGGAAAACTGCCATTTGTTTTCTAACAAAAACAGTAGGCAGATTACTGAAGTGAAGTTTAAGTCTTTGAGTTTTATGTGTTTCTTTATTTATTTTTGTGTGTGTTTACAATTGAATTTTGCTGCACTAATCACTTTTAACTACTTATTATAAGAATCTTTCCCTAGTCCTTATTTGTATGAAGTTTTTAGTCAACCATCTCACATGTTAGTACATTTGTTAATTAACTGAGTATTTTCAATTTGCTAATATGATTTCATCTATTCAGAAACTTTTAATTTCATTCTTTTAATTAGGATGTCATGTTATCATTTAACTATCTATGTGGAGATCATTTAATACCCCCCCTCCCTGTTTATATGTCAATAACAGATATATCAAGGGGCAATAAATAAAAGATTGTATAGCTACGCCGGGTGGTTAAATTTAAGTTGACATCTTTTGTTACCCTATTGGTCAAAATCGAACTCACCTTTCTTTTCAGGTTATACCCCTTGCTATTGAGCATTTTAATGACTCGGTACTGGTGGCATCATGTGCTTTTCTTCTGGAACTATGTGGTTTGTCTGCTAGTGTTCTTCGAGTTGATGTTGCTGCCTTGAGTAGGATATCTTCTTTCTATAAGTCTACTGATAATAATCACTTAAGGCAGCTATCCCCCAAGGGTGCTGGATTCTATCAAACAGCAGTTGAAGTTGATGTAGCAGAATCACTTGCACGAGCACTGGCAGATGATTATCTTCATCGATGTTCTGCTAACATGATGCAGAAAGATAATGGGAACAATAATGTCTGCAATCAACCGTCGCGAGCTCTGCTTCTTGTTCTGCATCATTTGGAAAGGGCAAGTCTTCCAGCTGTATCAAATGGAGCAACATGCGGCTCTTGGTTGTCAACTGGAAATGGGGATGGGGCTGAATTAAGGTCTCAACAAAAAGCCGCAAGCCAGTACTGGCAATTGGTCACCACATTTTGTCAGATGCATAACATTCCCTTGAGCACAAAAAACCTTGCTGCATTAGCGAGAGATAATGATTGGGTATGTATCTTTGTTAACTGTACAGTTGCATACCTGCTACCTTTTCTGTTTTATATTAATTTTATTCTTGTCCTTATTTGCCAAATTAGGTTGGGTTTTTGTCGGATGCTCAGATTGGAAAATATCCCATAGAAACAGTTATCCAAGTGGTGAGTTTTATCTCCTTAAAGATGTACTTTTCTGGGCCCCAGCTGTGCTGTAGATAACTTTTTCTTTCAGTAAAAAAAGTAGTAACAGCTGTCACTTCATGTTATCTACAATGTTTCAGGCATCAAAGGAGTTCAGTGATCCTCGGTTAAAGACTCACATCTTAACAGTTTTGAAAAGCATGCAGTCTAGGAAGAAAGTTGGATCTACAAACTTGAATACTGCAGAAAGTGGGGCTGAAGTGTCTTTGTCACATGAAAATCCTTACATACCTGTTGAATTATTTGGAATTATTGCAATGTGTGAAAAGCAAGAAAAACCTGGAGAGGCTCTTCTACTAAAGGCAAAGAATCTGTGCTGGTCAATTTTGGCTATGATTGCATCTTGTTTTCCTGATGTCTCGCTACTGTCCTGTTTAAAAGTTTGGCTGGAGATAACTGCTGCAAGGTTTTACTTTCCGTTTGTAATTATAAACTATCATTCAAATATCTTGTTTGCCTTCCAATGTTTATGGCTTTTGGAAATTGTGTGCACAGTTCCACACTCTCCTCATAGAATCTCTTTGTCTTGTCTTTTTCTTTGTCTTTGGAATAATGTTCTAATCTTCTTGCTTATCAGGGAGACATCAGCCATCAAAGTTAATGATATTGCATCCCAAATTGCAAGAAATGTCGGAGCTGCTGTGGAGGCCACGAATTCCCTTTCTCCTGGTGCTAGAACCACAGCATTCCATTATAATAGGAAAAACTCAAAGCGTAGGCGTCTTTCTGAATCAATACCTCAGGATTCTTCATCCTTGGCAGTTTCTGACATTTCTAAAGTACCTGGTGTCTCCACCATTACTGGCGTTAATTGTCAAGAAGAAATGGACAAACTAGGTGATGGTGATGCTATATATTCCAGTGACTCTGATAGCATGGCTAATGCCTTGTCAAGAATGGTTGCGGTGCTTTGTGAGCAGCATCTGTTCCTTCCTCTGCTACAAGCTTTTGAGATATTTCTTCCTTCATGCTCTCTATTGCCTTTTATCCGTGCTCTTCAGGTTAGTATATATTATACACTGTTAGCCACAGCATTGTTGTTAAAAAGTATGTTAAGAGAAGTATCTATTTACTGTGTGTTTGTTTGGGGGTTTGGATTTTTGGTTGGGATTTGATGTTCTGTTTTGAATGTAAAATTGATTTTTAGTATAATATAGAAAATGAAAAATAGATGTTTGATTTGATGTTTTTTGGGGGAAATTTTTTATGGTGAATAGTAGAAATTTGGTAAAATGTGATAAAAAAGCACACCATTAGCAAATGAAGATCTTATTTTATGTATTATTTTTAAAATATTCTCTCTTACCAATTTGCTAGAGCCTAGAAGTCAGGCTTATCTTTCAACATGGAAGTTCTCTAAATCTTGGGGGCTGCTTGCTTGAGTCTTAAGATGTACTATGTGCAAGTAATTTATGACTCTCTAGTACATTAGTTGACATTGCATTACAAATATCTTCTAGATGTGAATGTGATCACTCTAATTTGCATATGCTCCTCAGATATTAGTGATGAACTCTGCTTCAATTTTGGGTGTTATGGGACATCACCCACCTTCTGAGTGTGATTTAGATAACTACTAATTGTTGTTTTGGCCATTTATTTATGTTGGTGCTTTTAATATTTTATTTTTTTAATTCTCTGGGTTTTAATTCTCTGCCTTATTGAAAATGGGTCCCTGTAAATGATTAAGAATAGATTGTTAAGGGTTTAGTCACTGCCTTACAAATTTTCTGAGGTTTTGTTAATTGATGCACTTGAAGTTTAGGTTATCTATGTTCTCAATGTATTCCATTTTCTTTGTTTAATAGGAAAAGAAGGAATATTGCATGCATGATGTTTTCACAATTTTAATCTTTCATAGTCACTATTCAAGTAGATCTGACGATGATCTCTCTCTCTCTCCAAAAAAAATATCCCTAGGCCTTTTCGCAAATGCGCCTTTCAGAGGCTTCAGCACATCTTGGGGCCTTCACCATCAGTGTTAAAGAAGAGCCTCTTCTTCACACACAATCTAACTGGGAGAGGGAAGAGAAAATTGGAAAATCTTGGACAAGTTCCATGGCTGTTAAAGCTGCTGATGCTATGCTCCGTACTTGCCCGTCTCCATATGAGAAAAGATGTTTATTAAGGCTTCTTTCAGCTACTGACTTTGGTGATGGAGGGGCTATTGCAGCACGTTATGGGCAACTCTCTTGGAAAATAGATATGGCTGAGCCTTCTTTGCGGAGTGATGAATGCCCTCTCCTTGGAAATGAAACACTAGATGATGCTTCGTTGTTGACTGAGCTAGAAAAGAATGGGTATTGGGAACAAGCACGCAGTTGGGCCAAACAGTTGGAGGCTAGTGGAGAATCACAATGGAAATCTGCAGCCAATCATGTAACAGAAATGCAGGTGAACTTTTGTACCCTGTCCAGTTATCAGCTAGCTTATAATTTTCATGTGTGTTGAACTTTCTTAATCTATTCTGCTATGTTGCTTTCCTATCAAACGTTCAAAAGATGATGTAATGCTATATAGTTATCATAGTGAGATTCATGAAACAGTCTTCACAAGAATCAAAATCAGGTAGAAAGTTCAAGCACCTTAACATGGATTATGCAGTAGTTTGATATAGGCAAGCCACCTCACTTATCATTTAACATGTGATTATTTAACTTAAACAATTGATGTTAAGAAAAGTGCTTTTGCATATCTTGTTTCATAGCACCTTTTTTTTTTTAAAACCTAAAAGTATTTATTATGTCCGCGAGTGTTTCATAATTCATACATATCTTTCTCATGTCTAGGCTGAAGCCATGGTAGCAGAATGGAAAGAATTCCTTTGGGATGTCCCAGAAGAGAGGGCTGCTTTGTGGAGCCACTGCCACACGCTTTTCATTAGATACTCATTTCCAGGATTGCTGGTAAGTTCACTTCTACTAAAAATAAGAATCATTGGCACCAATTAATTGCTCCATCTTAAAGTTCATGTGTTCTGCCTTTTTCTGCTTGCTATCAAGTTGCCCATTCTGTTTCATATTTTTTCTTGTGAGGTTTTGTGATGTTATAAAATGGTTGTTCTGTTGTTTGTTTGACTGATATGGATGATTGCCAATCATGTATTTGATTTATAATATTATTTCAGTCTGACTTGATGTTTCTGTTTCTTTGTAGGCAGGGGTGTTCTTTCTTAAACATGCAGAGGCAGTTGAAAAAGATATTCCAGCAAGAGAACTTCATGAGATTTTGCTACTTGCACTGCAGTGGCTGAGTGGAATGATAACTGCATCAAACCCGTGAGTATCTCTGTATTTTCTTATTTTGATCATCTTAATCTTTCCACTTTTTAATGAGGTATGTGTGGAGGTATTGTCGGGTGTTTTAGAGCCTAGCCATTTGTCTTGGTTGGAAGAACATATAGTAACAAGGGGCCTTTGTGTCTCCCTTTTTCAAAAACCTGTACCCCACTGCAGTACAAGAAGTGATATTTGCCAGATCATTAGTTGAATAAATGATATTCTATTAACATAATGCTTGTAATAAACAAGGACTAATTTAGTCTAAATAAAGTTCAACTAAGCACGAAACTCTTTAATCAAATCCATTCTAGATTTAAGCCTAATCGACAGTTAGAAGCCATTCTAACACCTGTTATCAGTTGACACAGATATCTAGGAGGAGTTCATTTTTCATATCACATTGAATTCATTTATATAGCACTCTAGTTATATAATGAGAATATGATGATATACTTGGAAACTAAATCAAAACTTTCAAGGTAATTAAACTAGATTCATCATTCGACTGAAGTAATAGCAACCTACTGTAGAGAAAGTACTTCACCTATCAAATATTGGCTTCGGACATAATATAGTTATTATTTATTTATTTGATCTAGAGATTGGATTTGTCTTAGAATATGAGTTTTTATATTTATGGGAATTTTATCAATCTGTAGGAAAGCTTGATTCAGATAAATATTGATATAATTTTAGTTAAGCCTAATATTATAAGCACACACTATAACAAGTGTTGGTGATTCAAATAATGAGAAATGCTATTCTTAGAGTTAAGCACAAAATTAAGTCTACAAATCTCACCAAAATTAATGATATTATCAGTTGGCAATAGTGGGACTCTTCTGGATATTTATGGCTTTCCAATTATGTGTGCTACTTCTGGATTGCCTTTTTGGTTTCTTCATGTATGCTGGTCTTCAAAGGCAAAATAATTCTTTGTGTACCTATTGTCTGTCTGTCTGTCTACCATATATTACTCTTTTAGTTGAATTTTCTAATAAGAAACCCCCATACTAAATATAGAGAGAGCCTAGACTAGGATTTGTGAGATTAAAATCATTACACCTTTATGTTCGTGGTTGTATTCTTGAATAGTTCTGCTAGAACTTTTAGTTCAGGCAGTGAACATATGGAATAAAAATAATCTTCATTTTTTTTTATCAATATTTGCAGGTTTTATCCACTGCATCTACTGCGCGAAATTGAGACGAGAGTTTGGCTCTTGGCTGTCGAATCTGAAGCTCAAGCGAAGGGTGATGGTGAAGATTCCTTAACCCAGCACACCCGAGAGCAGTCTGGATCTTCCAAGGATTCTAATTTAATAGATCGTACTGCAACTATTATTACTAAAATTGATAATCATATAAATGCGATGAGGTTCAAATCTTCAGAGAACAATGATCGGGGGAACAGTCATACACATGCTAGAATCACTCAAACTGTTGATCATGGCTTTTCTAGCACTGCTGAAGGGAGCTCTAAGACTAAAAGGAGAGCAAAAGGCATTGGATCATCGAAGAAGCCTCTGTATGATCCAGCAGATAAATCATTTGAGCCTCTTAATGTCAGAGATGAATCACAATTCATGGATGAAAACTTCAAAATAGATTCATCATTATCGAGGTGGGAGGAAAGAGTTGGACCTGCTGAACTTGAATGGGCTGTTCTTTCATTGTTGGATTTTGGGCAAACTGCTGCTGCTAGACAACTGCAAAATAAGCTGTCTCCTGGCAACACACCACCTGAATTCCTACTTGTAGATACTGCGTTGAAGCTTGCTTCTCTCTCTACTCCAATGAACAGGGTTTCTGTATCAGCCTTGGACAACGAAGTGCGCTCAGTCATTCTTTCATACAATATTTCAATTGGCAACGGGACAATTGATCCCCTTGAGGTAACCAATTCATTTCTTTTATTTTATTGAAAAACTTCTATTCAGGATTAGCCATTTCCTCCTCAAAGTAAAAGTGCAAATTCATTCGTACCTTGTTTGCATGTTGATATTTCTATGCTTCAACTCGAAACATATCCATTTAATGCTGCTAAACACAATCTGTTTTAAACTATATCCATGTTTTACCATTCACTAGATTCCCTTGTGATATATGAATTCATGCAATAATTGGAGGCACAATTTTTATTATTATTATATTCTTGTTTTTTAACGCTCTTTGTTTATTTGCTTCTAGTATAGGCTAAACTCTACTAGTAACAACTATGATTGACGGTTCAACTTTTTGATTGCTAATGTACTTTAGGTTTTGGAGAGTTTGGCAACCATTCTGGTGGAAGGCAGTGGGAATGGGTTATGCCGAAGGATAATATCTGTTGTTAAGGCTGCAAATGTACTTGGTCTAACTTTTGTGGAGGCATTTGAGAAGCAGCCAATCGAGCTGTTGCAATTACTTTCTCTCAAAGCTCAAGATTCTTTCGAGGAAGCCAAACTTTTGGTGAAGACACACACAATGCCAGCTGCTAGTATTGCTCAAATTCTTGCTGAATCGTTCCTAAAGGTGAATCTGATTGTACTCTCCCTTTGACCCTAAGTAAAAATGTATGGTTCATATTCAGAGTTATGTTCTTTCGAAAAATTTCCAATAAGTTTGTGACTGAAGTTGAGGTGTTAAATCATTAGTTTAATCCTTCAGTGAAACAATTGCAATCTAAAGTGAACTGCTAATTTAGAATGAGCAAATAGTGAGTTGGAACATACAAAATGGTATTTGGGTATGACTAATATTATGAGGCTACATGCTGATAGTAGTTTTTGGAACTAAACTAGCCAATAGGATCGTTGGGATGATTTGTTACCACAAAAGTTTGATATTTTAAGTTTACAAAATATAATTTTATGAGATGATGCATGGTTTGTATTGTACATAATGTCTGGCTCAGAAATTGTTTTGATTTACTCCCCCCAACTGGAAATCCTTCCCCATTTTCAGGGTTTATTGGCAGCACATCGTGGCGGGTATATTGACTCACAAAAAGAGGAAGGACCTGCTCCTCTGCTATGGAGATTCTCCGACTTCTTAAAATGGGCTGAGCTTTGTCCATCTGATTCAGAAATTGGCCATGCATTAATGAGATTAGTTATCACAGGGCAAGAAATACCCCATGAATGTGAGGTACGTAATGCTTGTTACCTGTTTTACTTTCTAGGAGCCCTAACCCTTGATTTTAGTTTATTGCCAAGTAAATGGAACCAAACTATTAGTGGTGATCAGGGTCAGTAAATTGGCATGTAATTATAGTTAAGCTCTCAGCTAATTATTTTCTGAAAATATATGTAGGTTGAGCTGCTTATTCTATCCCATCATTTCTACAAGTTGTCAGCCTGTCTTGATGGGGTTGATGTTCTTGTAGCTCTTGCTGCGACAAGGGTGGAGGCCTATGTATGGGAGGGTGATTTTTCATGCCTTGCTCGCTTGATAACAGGAGTTGGAAACTTCCATGCGCTGAATTTCATACTTGGAATTCTTATTGAGAAAGGCCAACTAGATCTTCTCCTCCAAAAGTATTCAGCAGCTGCAGATGCCAACAGTGGTGCTGCTGCTGAGGCTGTTAGGGGGTTCCGAATGGCTGTTCTGACATCACTTAAACAATTTAATCCGGATGACCTTGATGCATTTGCCATGGTTCGTGATATATATATATATATGCTTTCTGCTAATTCCCCCTTTTCCTCCATATCCGATCTTTTAAATTCCTTGCTTGAGAGAAGTTCATTTTCAAATTGCAGCCTTTTGTCAATTGTAACAGAAACAGAACAAGTTGCTCTAGCCCAGCTCAATTAATCTCATTCATGCTTGATATAGACTCATTTGACAATTTAGATGCATTATTGAGCTATCGAAAAACCTTGAGTTTTATTTGAGAATATTGACCTTGTTTGGTTAAAGAGGGTAAAATGAATATGATCATTTCACATGGTAGAGTTATTTGTTTTCATCACTCTCTAGATGTTGTCAATGTTAAATTATCTTATAGGTTGTTTAGTTAGCAATTTGTTCAACTCAAACGAGTGAAGCTTGAATGATCAAATTAGGTGATGAGCCGAGCTCAATTAATATTTTTCAACTCTTGACCTTAGATAACATGACTTGATTCAGTTCTTTAGCAGCTTTTTATTGACCATCATTTATTTGTGTTCGTCCTCTTCTGTTCTGGTCAGGTCTATAATCACTTTGACATGAAGCATGAGACTGCTGCTCTTTTGGAGTTGCGTGCAAAGCAATCATCTCAACTGTGGTTTCTCCGTTATGACAAGGATCACCATGAAGACCTCCTCGACTCAATGCGCTATTACATTGAAGCTGCCGAAGTTCATTCTTCCATTGATGCTGGCAACAAAACTCGAAAAGCATGTGCTCAAGCATCACTGGTATCGCTACAAATCCGAATGCCCGACACCAAATGGCTCGACCTTTCTGAAACTAACGCACGGAGAATCCTAGTAGAGCAGTCCCGGTTCCAGGAGGCCCTAATAGTGGCTGAAGCATACGGTCTGAACCAACCAAGCGAGTGGGTTCTCGTTCTGTGGGAACAGATGCTCAAACCGGAGCTCACCGAGCAGTTTGTAGCTGAATTTGTTGCTGTGCTACCTCTCCAGCCATCAATGCTAATCGAACTTGGGAGATTCTACCGGTCTGAGGTGCAAGCCCGGGGAGACCAGTCCCAGTTCTCGGTGTGGTTGACTGGAGGTGGTCTGCCGGCAGATTGGGCCAAGCAGCTCGGGAGATCATTCAGATGCTTGCTGAAGAGGACTCGGGACATCCGGCTGAAACTCCAGCTGGCTACAACGGCCACAGGGTTTGATGATGTAGTCAAGGTGTGTAGCCGGGAATTGGATAAGGTCCCTGAAAATGCCGGCCCACTTATCCTGAGGAAGGGACACGGAGGGGCTTATCAACCTCTGATGTAGCCTGTAGGCGGACTGGACTCGACTCGACTGGTAAGAACTCTCTGAACAACCTCAGAGATATATATATCTATCTATCTATATGCTTATGTACATGCTTGTGTAGATGAATATGTATGTGCGCGTTTAGGGGGAAGCTCCGGCCAGCAGACGACAGCATCCCAGCCTCATAGACTGTGACGGAATTGAAACATGGCATGCTTTCAGGTGTGTGTAGTAATTATATATGTAAAGATTAAGAAGCTTTTGGTAAGATTTTGAATGATGAGTAAATTCTTTATATTTTTGAGGAAAAGCAGCAGCAGTAGTAGTATTAGCAGTAGCAGTAGCAGTAGCAGTAGCAGGCAGGTATTTTGGCTCAAGTTTCAAATTCTTTTGTTGTATTTGGGCTTTTGTGTTTTCATGGCATGAAGTTATATAAGGTGATGTATGTATATACAATTCTGATTGAGAGCAATAAAATGCATGGATCTATTTATTTACTGTTTTGTTATTAAAAAATTGTGTTTAGTGCAAATGATTAATTAGAAATTTGCTGAGACCATTTTCAAACCAATAAAAATTGCCAATTTTCTACTCTAAATTTGAAGCAATGTTGTGCATTAGGGCAACTTCAACCCTAAACCCATTATGCAAACACTGGAGTAGGGATTCCAACAAAAGGTTTCTTAGCAAAACATAATGAATTCATAGAAAAAATATTTTTATTACTTTTTTTCACATATATTATCTATCTAATTTTTTAATAAAATAGAAAACATAATGGCATAAATAATTTAATTGCAAGATAACAATCAGCGCAATTTGTTTGTTTGTTTTACACTAAATAATATTTTAATATCAATAAATTTAAATGTAACAATTATTCAATCCGTCATATTCTTAACAAAAATATCTCTCTAAAGTGATATTTATTTCAAAATAATAAAAGAAAATACAAGAATATATAAAAAGTAAAGAAAATTTTAGAATAAATTTTTCAAGATATGAAAATTGTTCAATAATCTAAAATATTCTTTTTGATACTATAAATATGTCTCACTTATAATCAAATTTAACTAGAGACTTCAATTGAGTTAGTTAGTGTGTGACATGACAATGTGATCTATTGTGCTTTAGCTACTTCAATTATTTATTGTATTATTATTATTATTATTATTATTATTATTATTATTATTATTATATTGTTATAAAAATCTTAATATGAGCTATTAAGCTTTATTATTATTATTATATTGTTATAAAAATCTTAATATGAGCTATTAAGCTCTTCAAACAATGGCAGCTGCTGGTCGGATCAGCCCTAGGATACTGCATGAGAGTTTGTTATTATTAGTCTGAGTAATAGTTTGTTAGCAGTGGAGAGGATCATAATTTATATATATATATATATATATTCATTCTTTCCAACCATAGCTTAATCATCCTACTTCAAATTTAATTGTAACTTAGCAAATTATATATTTTATGGAATAATGCATGTAACGAAATTAGATAATATTCATCCTTAGACTAGAACTTTCAACTATTTGAGAATCATGCATACATACAGTCATAAAGCAGTGAATAATTTTGGAGTGAGATGAAGTGGAAATAACAAAGGAAGAGAAAATAAAAATAATTGACGAACTAGTGTTTTAAATGAATGCACATTTGATTATGATGACGCTAATGTTTAAAAAAGTGATATCAACATGAACGAGATACATTTTAAAAGACTGGAGAATTGTTTTAGATATGGTAACGCTAATATTTGCATTATGTTTTTCGGTGTTTTGCAATCAGGTAAATAAATTAGAAGAAGTAATTAAGTTGAAACAAACAAGTTATATTCGAATGATCTTTATTATTTTGCTTACAAAAGTGAAATGAAGGAGGTAAAACCAACTTTTCTATTTAAGTTCTTCCTTATAGCCATGTGTTTGAGATGTACGAGTTGTTAGAATTCCTGTGTTATTTGTATTTTATCTACTTCTTATTTATTTATTTATTATTATTATTATTTTGTAGAATGGTTCATATCTTCTTACTTTTCAAATCTGATATTAACACAGATCAAGTATATTTCAAAAGTGTCATCAAAATTGAACAGTTACATTGGAGAATTGGTTTAGATATGGTAATGCTCTTAATATTAAGAATCAGTCTTCCGGCACAACTTCATTAAATAGCCTGGATTTATATATCAAATATATCACATTTTCATGGTTCCAATTCATAGACAGGGCACAATCTATGAAAGGGAAAAACAAACTATGAACGAGCACTCTCATTATATGGTAAGAAATGAAGTTTGTTTTGTTATCTTCAATATATAATTCTTCCCTTCAACTATAGTTTTGAATGTAAATTTGATTTTTAGAATAATATAGAAAATAAAAAATAGGTATGTAATGTGATATTTTTTAAGGAAACAATTTGAATGAATAGTAAATTTTTGACAAAATCCCTAAACAAACACACTGTTTTGTTTTGTATTGTAGGGATGAATGAATGTTCCTTCCATTGCCCTTTTCACACACTGCTCATCCTAGTTTATATTTACTGATGTCAACAATTCAATTATCATCTAAGTTTACATTTTTCACATTTCTATAAATAAAAATATATCTCACAAAACAAGCAAGCACAAGTCCTCATTTTTTTTCTGGGAATTGTCATTAAATGGATGTATTTGGGATATTGTTTTTCTACCAAAACTTGTATCTCATGCTTGTTGCTGCAGTAATCAAATACTCTCTCTCTCTCTCTCTCTCTCTCTCTCTCTCTCATACAAACAAGGATTTAAAATGGAACTCTACCTTTGTAAAGCAAGACGTTAGGTTTGGTTCCTTCATGGTGTTAGTCCAAAAGAGTAGTCTACTCCGGTTTTGGTTTCAAATGGTCGGGACGCCTCTCGGCAAGAAAGCGCTTGGTGCTTTCAAGGACACCAAAGAATATTGAACCCCCAATGCCTATCCACAGGACTCTTGGCCCGATTCCCTGCATACCACCAGAGATCAGCAATGAAGCAGAAAAATAAAAGGCACAACATACACACACTAATTTATTGCTGAAGAAGATGAGAGGGAGCAACCTTGAGTAGGGCTTTGGGGCCTTCTTCTCTGACTATAGTCTCCACGCAGTTAAAGATGCTTTTATATTGGTTTGCTGATCCCTGTAAGAACGAGATGATCGGAGTTCAAGTTGATACGAAAGGACCGGACATGACAATGAATATAATACCAATATCATCTCAATTTGATTCATGATTTAGATGGCATACCTGAATCATCAGCCTAGTTTTTATCACGTCCAGAGGAGTCGTTATGGCACCCGTCAGAGCACCTAAAACACACACATTCAGATCATAACTAAGGAATGATCTTGTGGACCAACTGTATGTTGTTCCTCTCTCAACCGCTGTTTTAGAAAATTGCACAATTGGATCCCTAATTTCTATTTTTTTTCTCTTCTATATTTATTTCCAGATTAAAAGGTTGAGTTAAATGATTGTTTGACTCGAGCCAGAAAGTTGTATAATGATGAACAGAAAATTTGATTATTTGCTTCTGTGACCTTGCGTTCATGAAGGTAAAAGCTCTATTACCAGCAAAAGCACCGATTATAGCATTTTCAGGATCATTCAGATCTCTCTTTGCCTGCCAAGATACACAAACAAATGAAAAGCAATAGCATCAAAAGGTAAAAACAAGACGAAGCATCAAATATCCAACAGCTAATTAGGACAAAGTGATAAAGCAATGCACTTGTGCGGTCATGGGACACATGACTGAAGAAACATAGGTGTGATGCCAAGAACAAATTTTTCAGGTCAACGAAGAACAAAATTAGCAGAAGATGGATATATATATATATGAAAAAAAAAAAAGAAAACAGGAAAACTTACTGCCAGTTTATAGCCTATTCGAAGTTGTTCATAGAGGCAAAATTGGATTGCATCAAATGGCAAATCTCTCAGCAAAAATGATCCATATCCCTATGACGAAATAAAGTTAGTATCATCACAGTCCCTGCTAAAAGCATGCAGTAATATTGAAAATAAAAATTCCATCAGATTACTATAACATTATTACCCTTTCCCCTGAATGAATCATGAAAATAAATATAAGGCCTAAAAAAGGACCAATAGAACGAGGAGACGGAATAATCTCCACAGCTATTATTTTTAAGGCATATAATTTGAGTCCAGATAAATGATAAAGATGGAATGCTATCATACTGCATAAAGACCTCTGAAGCCTTCTTTTGAAGCTATAAGCCTAACAGCATCTGGGGCAGAAGCAAATTGCCCCGTCTGCATCCGTTGCTTAACAACCTGAAACCAAAGAATAAAATGAGACAAGTAGCAATAATTAGGTACATATAAGATCCAAGGATATATAAGGAGCTAGGGGGACAGATAGAGAAATCTCTACCTCTGTAGGGACACGAATAAAAGAAGCTGCAATCCCTCCAAGGGCACCTGCAGTCTACATGTAAAATGGAAGGTTCATTAAGAAGCCAAAAAATAATGCTTTATTTCAGTTTCCAAAAATAATCTCATGAAGGGCACTTAACATGCAGGTAAAGGTAAACTATCTACAGAGATTGTGCTATTGAATAACAGGACGGGAAATTCATAACCCCTAATAGGCATGGTTACTCTATATGTAGGCACAAGTAAATTGAGAAGCACAAGAACCAAAAAAGAAAAAAAAAATGAAGAAGAAGAAGAAGAAGCAAAAATCAAAGTTTCAAAAGCATTACAATGCAAGATTTGCATGCTGCAACTGCTTCAGTTGAGCACTGGATGATCTATAAATGACTTTGAGAAATAAAAACAAATCAAACCGATAGGTAAAGAACATATGAAAGAAGCAATGTAAAAAAATAGGTTGGGAGATTTGAAGGAGAGCAGAGATACACTCACCAGATGAGCCACAGCACTGAGATTTTCCGGAAAACTCCTTAAGAGTTTTTGCTTTGCAGGTTCATAAACACCAACAAAGACAGCAGATGCCCTGTCATAAACTCAATAAATCAACTGTGGAAGTCCATATTGCAGAATTTTTGTCTGTGTGTAATTGGGCATAAAACCATTTTAATTATGAGTTCTTTCCCAGTAAATAAATTCAATGGTCACCATCAAACCAATAATAGGTGGCAATTAACCAATGCGAATCCAGAGTTTCAATTACTAAATAATATTTCACATTTTAGCTATTACGTTGTGCAAATTCCTCCTGCACAGCTTTTATTTACAATAGAGTAAGTACCACTTAATTTGCAAATAAGTGTAACACAGTAAATCTGCATATATATATATATATATATATTTCTTTCCCAAATCCATACCAATGGAGAAAGTTTTTGCTTAGAAAAGTGGAACAAGGTTTGAAAGAATTCTTAAAGGGTCTATTTAGGCTGAGGCTTGCTACCAAAGACAAATACTCTAATAAACCTTTGTAAAGACGAAATAATTTATGCTGTCAAACATGCAAGTATAAAATACAACAATAATTTAGTTACTCTCCTGATTTTATGCAGTGCTCTACTGATTCTATGCATTACTCTACTGATTTCATGCCTATCATCTACCATATTATGACTTAATTACAAAGTCAATTACACTATGGTTTTCTTCCGTATGCGTATTTTGTACCATTAATTCTGCCAACACTCATTCATATGTTTCAATACTTAGTCATGCAAATGTTAAGCAGAAGTATTCAAAATTTCTTTACGGCAAGACTCCAGCAAGATTTCCAGAAAGACCAGAGTATAGCCCTTTGAGAATTATCTGGCCACCCCCACGAGCTGCCTGTGAATGTGCAGATATGCTTAGTCAAATGAAAACTTTTTACAGGAGCATGTTCAGGAAAAAGCATTGATCTCCGTCCTCTTCTCATTCTCTGGCAGAGCTGAGAAGAGGTGAAGGTTTTAATTTGACATGCAATTCTCTTTTGCCCTCCGTAATTGCACATTCAAAGAATGATTCACATTTGTACAAGCACATCAACATTTTTTCATTTACCATAAAAGCCATTGGGAAATTTTACTTCGTATCATCATATTTGCTGCTTAAGTTCCTTCCTCTCTCTATCCCCCCACCTTTCTTTTAAATATGAAAATAACCCAGCAAGTAGCAGTGCCCGTTGAGGGAAGAATTAATTGAACAGAATGGCACATTAGCATTTAGTGTGCAAGCAAAAAGTTACTTCATGTATCAACAAACTGACCTGCAATCGTGTCTTTATTGTATCTATAGGATACAAAGCTGTTTCAACTACAACACCTGCTGTCGCACCTGCTATGAAACCCTCTGCAGAATTTACAATTAAAAGTAAATACTTATATCCAATGTCATCTACCTAAATCCAGGAACTATTTTCTTTCTTCATTTTGTTTACGCAATGAATGGGCTTAAAAAACAAAGTGTCCCAGCTAATTAGTTGCAATCAGTATATGTTCAAATAGGATACTGCAATCATATACCAATACAATAGAAGAAATGAGTGAATGTCAATTTCAAGCATACCAAATATTATTCGAAGAAAGTCCAGCGGCTTTTCCTTCTGCATGCTTACTGAGGCATACAACTTTTGGGGGTCCAACTGCCACTCTTGCATTTTCCAATTAGATGCATCTGCAAAACAAAGGAAGTAATTAAGAAGTATAAATTAATAATGTCTTTGAACAGATTATTACTTTTTTCCCCAAATTCAAACGACAATTCAAGCAAGAGGCATTCATTCCTCAGCACTCGGCAGAATTCAAGCACAAACACCACAACAAATTCCTTTTTTTGTTAAATAAACGCTGCAATTTTCGTTCAAATTCGCACCACATAAATTCTCATAGGAAACAAAAAGAAACTAACCTGAGGAAGAGCTCTTTGCATCAACAGCTAGCGGACCCATTCGCAGCTACAGCTAAAAAAAAAAAAAAAAAAAAAAAAAAAAAGACATAAATCACGGAACAACGTCGTCGGCGTCGCGTCGGTTTACACAGGTAGAAATAGATACAAAAAGAATTGGAGTGAGTAGCGAACCGATGATTGGCAGTGTGGTTGGGTGGAGCGCGGTGCGCGAGCCTCTCTCTCTCTTAGTCTGCCAATAACCACCAAATGCAGGGAGGGGCTGAGGCTGTGGCTGACTCTATGAAATGCCAGAATGCGTTGTGGAAGATATACCCGTCCAGTATAGTTTGTGTATGGTTCCATCCTTCCTACCTTACATATATTATTATTATTTAAATAAATTGTTTATTATTTTATTTTTATTTTTTTTTTGTATAAAAACAAAATAATATTTTAAATAAATTGTTGATTTTTTTCAAGATGATAAAATATTTATTATTTATATGATATAAATGTATATAGATTGTACTATTTTCGTCAGCTAAAACAATATTTGTAAAACAAATTATACAAATATAATAATATTTTTAATATTTAGTATAATGACATAAATATAATTTCAATATAATTTATGGTAAAAGAATCACAATTATTTGTATTCATACTTATGTGCTTATTGTTTTATTTATTATGTATTGTCAATACTTATGTTATGCCATTTTTTTTTTTTTTTTTTTTTTTTATCATGGGTTGTGTCTGACTATTTTATATGTTATTAATCTATATTATATTTATATTGTAACATAAAATTAATAGCCCATCTCATAGTTAATGATAATATAATTTATAGTTAATTTAAACATATTTAATGCATTCATACATCACAATTCACAACTATATCTATATGTTTTGATTTAACATATTTAATTTTGTATCATTTTTAAAAAATTAAAATTTTAAGTTGAAGATGTTTGCATTATTTATTAATAATATATATTTGAAAATAATATCTTAAGTATTTGCTATCAAATATAATATTTCTTTTTTGACATTTTTATAATAATTGTTTGTGTAATGATATATTTGTAATGATATTATTGTATGATTATGTTTTGTAAAATAAAAAAGAAATTCGGGATAGACAAAAATGATAAAAATAGTACTTGAAAAAAGTATTAAATAAGTAATTTTTTTTTTAAATCCCAAAACCTCTGCGTGGAACCTAAAACGTTTTCAAAATATATTCAAATATAACTTTATATTAATTCAATTTATTTTCCTGAAGTGCAATATAATTGTTGAAGGCTGATCCGGTGCTGATGCTGATAAATACTATACTGGACTGTTTCATCATAGTAGATAAAGATCGATGACTTAAATTGAAGAGGAGTAAGAATTATTGGGCTTTTTTAGTTTAAAAATTATTGGGTTTTGTACATCTGTAGAATCTGCATATGTTCGATGTTGAAATATTTCAAACAATGCTAGATATTACATTATAAAATGTTTTCATGTTGAGTTCTTTAAGCTCATCAAATATGATGTTGTATAACATAATATAAGATGTTTTCCTATGCATAAGTCAATGTTGAAATCAACTGAACGAGATGCTAATTTATTTTATTCAATAGTAATTTTGATGTTCTAATTTAAATATTATTGCTAATACAGTTTAACCATATTCTTAACAAACTAAACAAGATTCTAATAGTTTCGTTAATATTTAAATCTTGAAAACTATGAAAACAATTAGATTAACACAATTATATACATCATTATCCAAGTTTGACTAAAGATGCATAAGTCAATCCAATAAATTGAATTCTTTGCGTGTGTTTGTTTGAAGGATTTTGGAGGATTTCCACTATTCATCCAATTTTTCCCCCCCAAAAACATCAAATCAAACACCTATTTTTCATTTTTTATATTATACTAAAAATCAATTTTACATTCAAAACATCACATCAACACCTATTTATATCACATCATACAACTATTCAAATTCAAAATTTTTACTATTCAAATCCCAATCCAAAATCCAAACCCCCAAACAAACACACCCTTTAATAAATCGCATGGTATTTCTTCTGGTTTTGCAAATTTCATTGCATGTCAATATATAGAGTTTGCATATATTCAATGTTGAAATATGTCAAACAATATATTGGATGTTTTATTATAAAATAATTTTTCATAAGCAATAAGATGTTAAGTTATGTATTTAACCTTATGAATTTTTTTTAATTATATCGAACGATTTTGAGTTCTTTTTCTAAAGAATGGTGCATGGAAAGGGAAAAATGCAGGTTGGAAGATTCTGAGTTCTTTTGAGTTCTTTTTTTTAATGAAAGCTTCATCGAAGAGAAAGCTCCATCGAAGAGAAATGAATGATTAAAGTAGTTATAAATTAGAAGAATTGAAAAATTACTATTAAATTTTTAAACTAATACAAATCAATGATATTCAATCATCATAGTACTGAATTTTATTTTCAGCATGTAATCCAAGCCCATAATTGTTACTTTAAATTTGTAAAATCAAATGTTATATTAACAAATGTGCAAATTGCATTAATTTTCAAATGCAGTAACCTTGAATTTACATAAAAAAGATCTAAACTAACAACAAGAAACAACATATGTAGAATTACAACTACTAATTTCAAATCCCTTTGCTCCCTCCATTGCAATTTCTTGATCCAAAGAAACCTTCAAATGAACAAAACCACCACAAATGTTTTAAGAATCAATTGAAATTGAAACCAAATACTCTTTTCGTCAGATAATTATGTGATATTTATTTTTTTAATTATCAATTAAACTTGTACATAATTCATTTATAATAAACAACTTTATCTACCTACAATTTCATTACACCTAATTTAACAAGTAATAACCAATTTGTCACTCTTTTCTCTACTTAACCCGCTACCTTATTATTAACTATTTAATAAATTTATTATAATATTTTGACTTTACTTCTTAGTTATCCCACATTTGCATTAAATACTATTATTTCTTACTATATGTGCCCGGGCATTATGACATAATTAGCTTAGACAAAAGAGTAATAGAGAGGCGTAGATCAGATGCTGACCTAATCAAATCAGCATAGTATCGATTTAATCGGTTAACATATAATATAAAGACATATAACATATATTTTTGCATAACACCGCATATATTGTGTTATAAGATATCATACGATGAATTATAACATAACATATGTTGTATTAGTTTTATGTAAGATGCTGACCGATCAAATCAGTACCATACTAATTTGATCGGTCAGCAACGGATCCGCAGCCGTAATAGAGAGTGAAAGAAAACCATTTGGACAGGATTAATAACTAAAATTACCTGAACTAGGAATCTTTAGGCTGTAGTAATCTGACAATGCAACCTCGAACCCTCCGGAAGCCCCAACGGGGGATCTTTGCAAGAACAATTATCAACCATAAACAACTCCCACTCCTCAATCCCACATCTATCCAATGCAGACTCCAATCTCGTTCCCCGGCTCGCAGCATCCGGATACAATCCATCGGGGGTAACAACCACGGCCCCAGTGTACGCCTGCCCCGCAACCCGAGCAGCGCCGTGGTAATGAAACAATCCCCAGCTCAAATCGTCGCATACATCCACAATCGTCCAAAACTCATTCGACACCACTCCATTATCCAAAACACTGAAATAAAACGTTCCCGGGATCTTACCTCTCCTTACACGGTATTTTCTACGCCTCCAGACTAAGTCCCCGTCGAGTGTTTTCACCTGGAAGACCGGCTCATACCAGAACGATCCCTTTGCCTTGCCCCGATAGAACAGCTGATACTGACATGGGAATTGGTCGTATGCCGGGTTCTGCCCACATACCACACGCCAGCTCCAATCCAAACTTCCTAACCAACCTATAAAAAGATCTTCGGCTGTTTCAAAATCAAGCGTCTCACCTTGAAACTTTGGCATTGGGGAAACTTGTGGTTTGTCGGGAATACTTGCATCCAATTCAAGGCAGTTATTCTTCTGCAGCACACAGAGAGAAAATTCCTCAAGCTCTCGACTCTCGTACGAAGCAATGCATCGATAATTGCACACCTGATCCACAGGGCTGCATTTATTCAAGCATTGTAGAGCTTTCCTACAATTCTGATCAAGTAAACAGTTGAGAATTTGCGGCCCGCAATTCTTTACCATACAGTTCAGTGTGGAGAAACCTTTTGCCCTTAGGTTCTTCAACATGGGGACGGGTCTGATATATGCATTTGTTATAACTAACAAACAGAACCTTATATCATCAGTGTTATGTCTGTCCCAAGCCTCGGATACGGATCGAACCACTTCCTCGGATTCCTTTTGTGTCTTCGGCTGGAGAAGAGGTAACTTACTGAATATATCTCTGGAGGTTTTGGGTTGGATTAAGGATCCACCCAACTTGTTTGCTAAAGATGGAGATGAATCGAAAGATACCACATTTGGGACATACTCGCAATTGGCCTGAATCCAGTTAACAGATTCTTGATCTGAAACGGCAACAATGATAGCAATGTTTGCCCTGCTTAATGCCTCCCGACACTCATCCTCAGCCCGACAGATACGATCAGTAAACACCAGCATTTCAAACGTTTCTTCCACCCACTTCAGCTTTTTTGCCTGCTTGCACAAAAAAGCATAGCAAGTAACACAGTGTTTGCAATGTCTACAGAAGGTTTGTGTTTAATTGTTGCTGTTAGAATATGAAACTGAAATTCTCTTTTTAATCGTAAGAATACGTACATATTTATAATGATATACAAATCGTCTAAATGAAACAAGAATTTTATAAATTTCTTAAATAAGATAACTATTATAAATATAATATATTGCTTCTAAATATATTTTAACATTTGCAATTAGAAAAGGACTGATTTCGAGATATTTCAATCTATAATTACCTTTTTTCTGATAAGTAATATTATTTGCAAACATTCCAAGGATTATTCCTTCTTCTGATTTTAAGTAGAAGATTTTGCAATGGGTGACTAGAAATCGAGATTTAATTGCATATTCGTTAACGACATTGGATTCAGAAGAAGAGCAGGCAGTAGGCAATTCAAGTTTCAATTCCTATTGTAAACAAAGTTGTATCCAGAAGATATATAGACTCGTATATCTCAATTACAGTTGTTATCACGTAACAGAGTATGAAAAGGGCCAAATCTAAGAAATCAAAAAACACAGGTAGCCAAAGAATTCAGAAACAAGACTTCCGCAGGTTATTTCTAATTGAAGAGTAGAGGGAATTCTGGTTTCAATGAACCTATAATCATCAGTGTTCATGTTTAACATAGAAATATGCTTCTTCAATTACACCGAGTGGCAAAGATCACAGCTGGCATTAACAATACAAGAAATGAAAAGCGCCATATTTGTAATTCCTAAAGCACAAATTGACAAAACTGAATGAGGTTGATATCCAGAAGAATAAGAATCTTATAATTAAATTTTAAAAGAGGAATTGGGATTTTTATCATGCTAGCTCGTTGTTAACAGATTTTCCTCTAACCGCTTTTTATGCTCTTCCAATTAGCTAAATCAGAGTCGGCAGCGAAGGCTCAAAGCATCCACACAGCTTAAACAAGTTAATTTAATCAATCTACTTACAGTATGGAGCATGACGTCATACCAAGACGCGGACTTCATCGGACTGATGCTTCCTTCCCCAACGATAGCTACTATGCTAACCGGCGCTCCATTTTCCGTCTGCTCCGAAGCAGTGCTGCAAAATATCGATGAGCTGCGACGAAGCGGTGGAGAACACGAGGAATTGAGGAATTTCGGGGTCCTTGGCGACCATATCTGAAGGCGAATTGTGGAGGAAGGTGGATAAGAGGCGTTTCGGCGGATGGTTAAAGACGGTAGCGCCGCGTAATTGCTGAGAGTAGCCATGGCAGTAGCGGTGGTGCTTCCAGAGAGCTGAACTGAGAATCAAAGAATGCAAAACCAGAGACGTTGCTGGAAGTGCGAAAGGCGTGTGTGCGTTTCCTAGCTGAAAGTACGGAGAAAGTACGAAATTTAATTAATTAAAAAATGTATTTAATAAATATAATTTTAATTTAATAAATATAATTATAAATTAAAATGATTAATGATTAAATAGTTTATTTAAAATAAAAAAGTTATTGAAAAAGAATTACTTGAGATAGAAAAAAGTAAGAACTTAGATAAATTATGTGAAACATTAAAATAAAATTTGATGATATTGATGTAAAAATAATAATGTAAAAATAAAAAGTAAAAATATTTATTAGAAAAAGTAAAATATTATTAAAATAACTAATTTATTATGATTAGACAATTTAAATTAAAAATATATATTTTATAAATAGACGAATTAGTATTTATACTTTTTCTGAAAATATAGAATCCAAATTCTAAAATTTAAAAAGATTCGTAGTAAAGACACAATTCGAGCAAAATTGCACAATGGGCATAGTTTCGTACCATATATAAAAATTATGTACAAATTTCTGGAAACTGCTTTTGTATTGATTTTTAAATTAGAATAAATTTATTTAAAATTATAAATTTTAAACTTCCCAATAAAATTGATAATAAATTAATAAATTAAAACCTAATAAAAATACATATATAAATAATTTATTCTTTTCTATTTTACATTATTTGAAAAATATATTCATTTATTCTAATAAAATAGTACATTAATTTTCTTTTAAAATATTAAGAGAAACAACAATAAAAATGAATATTTTCATAATTTTTAATAACTAAAAATAAAATTTCTAGGGTGTATTTTTTTTATTTATTTATTTATTTTTATATATATTGGGTTTGAAAAGATTAGGTTTGGATTTAATTTGATTTGAATTCTTTTGTAATAATTTTGGGAATATGCTATTCTTTGATTTAGTTGATTTTGTTTAAATTTGACGAGTTTTTATTGATAATAATTTGATAGATAATAATTGTGTTAAATTAAATAAATTAAAATTTTATTATTAATAATAATATTATTATATTACCCAAAGGCATGATGTGTAGGGATGGATAAATTTACTGAACATATCGAAATACCGATTTATCGTATCGTATTGTGTCGAAAATTTCGGTATGGTATGGATATCATACCGAGGTTTCAGTACGGTATCGGTATGAATTTTCGAAAAGAATTTTCAGAAAGTTCGGTATTTCGGTATGATACCGTACCGATATTATTTTTATTAAATAATTTAATTATTAATATAAATAATAATTATTAATATTTTTTAAAATTATAAAAAAAAAATATGTAAACTATTGAAAATTTATTGGTTTTTTCGTAATATTTTTGTGGTGAAGAATAGTGATATTTATTAATTTTTTTAATTATTTTGAAATTTAAAATTATATTTTCGGTATAATCGGTATATACAGATATGTACCGAAATCAAAATTTTCGATATAAGCGGTATACACCGGTATCGTATCGAAATTGTTTTTTTCGGTATAAACAGTCTATACCGGTACCGTAATGAAAATTTCGGTATACTGAAACTTTCAGTATAGTACCAGTATGTATTTTAGTCATACCGAAAAATTTGGTACAATATCGGTATCGATCGATATTTTCGGTACGGTACGGTATGCCATGGCATGGTGGCTGCTACTCTGTTTGTCGTCGGATGCCACTAGATTTCAGTCGTTGACATCTTATTTTATTCAGTCGCCATTGCGAAGAAGAAGGAAGCTAAGAACCACACAGCATACAGTCAAGGCCTAGGCTGAAAAGCAAAACATAGGGTGCAGAAGTTGTGGTGCTAGGGCTGGTTTCGCAGTTATAATGTGATATATTGGAACTTCAATGCTTCACGGTACGATAATACAGAAAGTTCATGACATTTGCATGATCTTGGCTGATTGTATTTTTATACGAGGAGATAATGTTTTTTAATCTCATTAATGTTATATGCATTTGTATTTTTATATTAGGAGATAATGTCTTTCAATCTCATTAATGTTATATGCATTTTAAAATCCCAAGTTCATACCATATCATTTTAGTCAAATAAATTTGTAAGTGAATATGCAAAAATAAATGCAGTGAAAATAAATATTTGTAAACGAATATGCTAAAATGATAAATATATATATATATATATACAATGAATTGAAAAGAAAATATATAATTTAAATGTGTGTGTGTTTTTTTAATGCAAATTTATCAAATTTTACTATTTAAATTATATTTTTTTTTTAATTTTACAAAATATTTGATCAAATATTACTTTAATATGAAACTAAAATCAAATTTTATGAAATCAAACTTGTTATTATAAAAATATGAACGGATCAAAAGTTTTATTAACGAAATCGAGTAAAAACAAAAGTATTGAACTAGTTTTTTGTTAGGCTCAACTCCTAACTAACTTGAACCGTAAATCGACACACAAAAAACACCTAACTAGCAACTACACACTTAAAACCTGATATATGCGATATTAGACAAATCTTTTGCTATTTTTTGGACGGTTTTTGGATGCGAATTTTGTATATATGCTCCTAATGATGTGTTTTTGAACTCTCTACTAGGCGTTGAGGAGTTGGTAAATTTTGGGAATATTGGAGAGAAAAGCAGAACGCAGGAAGTCCACGAAGCAGGAAAAAAATAAAATTGCAAAAGGGTCCTCCGGGGTTAATTAGCAATTTTAGAATTGTTTGGTTTAAAGTGCAAAGGGATCTTCGGATGGACTACCACGATCTCACCTACAACCCATTTTCTGAAGGAGAAAAGAAGCGAAAGAAGAACACTACGTACGGGAACTTTGGAGAGCAACGCAGAAGAACTTCCGGGCACCCTTTTTCTTCATTTCTAAAATTGGTTTGTTGTCAATTTTTAAACTTGAAGGCATGATGAACTCTTTGATTTATTTTATATTTTTAATTGCTATGGATTGCGAGTAGTTTCATTTCTAGTGTAGGTATGAATTGATTTTCGGGATTGAAATTGTGAGACTTGGTTTCGATTAAAATTGGTGTTCATCGATGTTGAGTATTTTTAATTCTTATAATTGATGAGTTTAGAAATCTTGAATTGATTATTACGTACGTATCAATTTAGGATTTCATAGCTATATTGGGGATTGACATACGTAATTGTGTAATTTTCCAATTGGCGTAGCAACCTAGAGAAGAACATTCTAGGGAAGAATTAAGATCAATTTTAGACAAATCCTCGTAGGAGCTTGAAATTGAATTGGACCTTTCTAATTTTTACTGTTGTCGAGTTAGAAAACTGCAATCGTACCTAGGATTCTTTCCCGATTAGAGAAATAGCTAACGGTCGTACCTTAGCTATCGAAAAAGTAAGGAAAAGTTGGTTGTGAACGCGTGTAGATTAACTTTAACCAATTTATCCAACTAATCGATGAATTTGACTTTTAGTCGATGATCAAATTTCGTATCCCGAATGAAAAATTCATGCCTATGCTAGAGTCTAATCATCTTTGGTAATCTGCCGTGCATTTTATTTTATCTTATTTAGTTGAGTAAATTTATTTTCTCTTATTTTAGTGTGATAAATTCACCCCCCATTATATATATAGTATAATTTTAAATAACCGAATATTCAATATTATTATTGTTCCCTGCGGAGACGACCCTACTCACCGAACTACTACATTTTGCAAGTTTTTTTTTTGTGGTGTAGGAACTGATACTTTATTTTGCAACGTTGACGAGGCTAGTAAAACCGGCCCAAAATTTACATGACTCACACAAATCGAACCCCCTTAAAAACATATAAGGCGAACAGAACAAATACAAACACCTAAAGGTTGAACGAGCCATTTGCTGCTACGAACAACAAAACAAGGGGTAAAAATGCACCACAAGAACTCTACAAATTATAGGAGAAAAGACGCCGCCGAAAACCGCCGGAAAAAATCGCCGGAGAAGATGAACAGAGAGGTCGAGAGAGAGGCTAGAGAATGGATGAGTTAGAGAGAGTGTACGAGAGGATAATAAGACTGCCCTCTCCCTCCTCTCTTTATATAGGTAGGTTTAAAAGGAATCGGCGGCCAAGATTAAAGACCTAGAATGGATGGTCCAGATCGCATCTAGCAAAGGGGCGCAGATCCTAAGCGGGTAAGGGGTGCAGGTCAGATAAATGGGTATGGGTCGCAGCCAAGAGTGTTTAAGCGGTTTAGGCTAAGCGGGTCACGGGCACAGGTCGGCTGGTGTGGGTCACAGCCAGGGCCAATGTTTAAGTGGGTTGCATAATTAGATGTGTGTGTCTTATTTTGGGGTGACTTTAATTGGATCAAAAAATCCAACAAAACTCAACACACCCTATGTCATATAGAGTTATGCTATTTTAAATTTAGTTTAAGAACTCATGAACAATTCAATCATTTATTATCTCACAATGTAAAACCCCAAAATAAAGTTCCTAAAACCTCTCTCTCTTTCACATCAATAAATTTATTATTTTACTTAATACAAATTTTATACAATATAAATTTAAAATACATATTTTATATATTATAAAAATTTGCATTTAATAAAAAATTATAATATTGTATATTTATGTTTAAGTAATACAATATCTTAATTTTTTAATAAAATATAAATTTTATTTTGAAAATATAATTAATAAATCCGACAAGATGTATTTTTACACCTTAAATTCAAATCCTGATCACTCTTGAACGATGCAACATAATGGAATGCAAACTAAAAAATTTTGTTATATTCAAAGTGATGTTGTCTGCTTGAGATTCGAACAACGAACAAACAACAAAAGTGCAGTGTAGAGTGAATCGAAACAAACAGCACATCAGCGTTTGTTGACCCAGTTTGGCCGTCAACCGGCCTACATCTGGGGGTACCAACACAGGACAATTCCACTATTAGTAAGGCAAGAACAAGATATAAAACTTCACACACAAACTCTACAAATCTCTAGCCACAAACACTCAACTAAAATGCATTGATTTCCCTACCGCATGCAAGTGCACCTTTCTTCGCAAAGGCAAATGTGCAAGGTCGCAACCTCTGTTGGCTTATGCTCCGAGATGGGATGAGGGTGTAGGCAGCTTCACTATTTCCTCCTTCAACTCTTCTTGTAATCCCCTTTGTACTAAACAAACACTCGGCAGTTTGTCGACACAGCAGACAACAACGATCCCTTCAGGATCTTATTTTTGGCTTCGAATCTCCAGCAACTTCGACCAGGTTCAAACCCAAGTTATAGATAAAATCCTTACAACGAAAATCCCTCAAATTAAAAGAGTATAATCTCCCTCGACAAGAAGTATGACTCAACTTATTATACCATGGGATTTCAGTTTTTTATAAGGAAAAAATAATAAGAAATTTTCTAAGTTTCTAGCTCTAAACTCATGAAACTCACTCCTAATTTCTCTCTCAATGAATTTCGAAAAGCTTGAAGAAAAATCAAACATAGAAAGTATGTATATATAGAATATACAACATTTCCTTTGGCCAATAAAAAATCGACACAACAATCTTTCAATGGGTCAAACAAATTTGGACATATTCAATGGCATGTATCTGACCATAAGGGACGAAATTTAACATGTCTATATCCTCATAAATATCCTAGGAAGAAATGATAGTCAAATAATACCTCTTTTGGTAAAGAGGGTGATAGACTTTTTATTCCTTCAAATTTGACCTCATTGTTGCATGCAAGCTCGTGGAACAAAATCCTTTTGTCTTTGTATGAAGTAGGACAGTGATCAATGTATAAGTTTTTTCAATGACCAGAACATTAGACCTTTAACCATGAACTCGAGCAGGTTGCAGTCTTGCAAACAGCTGATTGGTTGTTTGATCTGTCTACGGATCCCAAAGGGACCGAGTGTCCTTTTATTTTTCTTCAAATTCTTTTGACTTTTCAAATCAATGCTAGCACAATTTCTCTTGTATTTTTTGCCTCTGAAATATGCAGGATTTGAGTTGTTTTTTATTTTCCAAAAAGACTTTTTCTAACTCAGCAACATGGACATTTTAGCACCAGTTGATTGTCGAATCCCTGATTTATCAAACAAAATTTTATACCAACATAACTAAAGTATATTAATTATTTAATTTATTTTTAATATTTTTATTGTTAATTTTTAAAATAAAAAAGTAATTATACATAATATTATAATTCATATTAAATATAATATATAATAAAATTGAAAAATATATAATTTTTTCTCTCTACTCCGAGCGGTGGAGAGAGAAGGAAAATAACCATTCTCTTCTAATTCTGGCAAACACAATAGTTATTTAGATAAAAAGCTTTTAAAATATACGTGACTTACACGTGTCAAAGCTAAAATTCTAAGAGCAACAATAATGATAACAACCTAAAATAGCCTCCAATGTTTATTTGTCCAGTCAAAAATAGAATGATGAATTTTTAAACTTTATTTCATTAGTAATGATTCAAAATACAAAGTCAAAAAAATTGATAAAAATTGAGAAAAGAAAAACAAATTTAAAAATATCAATAACAGGAAAAAAAAAAAAAAAAAAGAATGGGAGAACAAAAAAGTATCCTGAGAGTAGCCCCTCTTGCGCCAGACAGCTTCAATCAAATTTTTATATTTCAGCCTGAAAATTTTATTTTTAAAATATAATTAAAAAAATTAAATAACATAAATAAAATTTAAATATTTTTTGCAAATATATTATTTTTATTTCACCCTAAACTTAAAATAAATAAATATAAAAAATAAGCCCTTGAAATACTAATCAAATTATTTAAATTTAATATATTTCTGCAAAATTTATAAAATAAAATAATAACATTTTAAAAATAATAATATGAATAAAATTAAATTTGAATTTTCTTATTTTTATATTATTCTTTACAAAATATCATATTACATATATATTTAACACAATAGATTTAAGTATTACACAAAGTAATATAAATATTAAATTTTATTTAAATATTATGTAATATTTTATTCATAAAATTATATTTAAATAGTATTTAATTGTAATATTTGAAAATATAAATAAATTATATTTTTATGATTAAATTAAAATAAAAAATAAATTTGAATGAAAAAAATATATTTTTAAATTATATAATAAAAAATAATTAATTAATTAAAATATAATTAATTTTGAGGGAAGAACGTTAATAAGTAATAGAAATATAATTTTTTAAAATATATAAAATTTAAATAATATTAATATTCACTTTCTCCTCATTTCTCTCTTCTTTTCGTCTGTCATAATTTAATTGATTAAAATAGAAAAATTTAGGAATAGAATATTTGACGGCGGATACAAGATGGAAAGCCTTCTAAAATTTTCAACTGCGTCTTGCTGTTAGAAGAGAGCGATTCTTATGTTTTATTTTATTTTATTTTTTAAAATTAAATATGTGCCACGTCATCATATTATGGTTCTTATACATGGGGGTAAAGAACTCCCATTGTTAAATGCTACAGCGAGAATCACTAACCCTTTGCCCTCTGCTCTGCTGCGCTCTTCCTCCTCCATACCATTTCCCATTCTTCCAAGCTATGCAATAATGGCCGCCTCTTCTCTTTCTAACTTAAACTTCTCCCTCTCCTCTAATCATTCTATCAATCCCACCCCAAAATCTGCCCGCCCCAGAACCCTAAACCCTTCCAAATTCCCCTCAATTCTTAATTATTCATCCTCATCCCAATCCCGTCCCACTCTCCCACCACAGCCCCTCAATAAACGCCCCTTTCACACCAAATCCCTAACCACCCTTCCGCTTTCTTCACCCCCTCAGGCGGGAATTCGCAAGTATTTTGTGGAAAAGATAGCAACTGTGCTGTTGGGGTCGCTTATTTTCGCGGGGACCTTGAAATCACGGCCCGTTTTGGCACAGCCCGTTGAGGAAAAGAGCGAGAGATATAAGGATGAGGAGACGAGTGAGGAGGAGGTGATGTGTGAGAAACTGTTGGAGCAAAATCCGACGGATGTGGGGGCGTTGAAAATGGCGGTGAATGTGAAGATCAAGAAGGGGAGAATCAAAGAGGCTTTGGGGTATGCAGAGAAGCTGATTGAGCAGCAGCCGAACGAAATGGAGTGGAGGCTCCTGCAGGCGCTTTGCTATGAGATGATGGGGCATTTGAGTAAGGCCAAGAGCTTGTTCAAGGATATACTTAAGCAGAAACCTCTCCTGCTCAGAGCTTTGCATGTCAGTATGGTTATGTTATTATATGTATATTGGATCACATAATGATGATATTTGGGAGCAAATATTCATTTTTCGAATATAAATATATAAATGTGACTAGTAGTGTATATGAATGGTAATTGATCATATGCCTATAAGCAATCTGGAAAGGGAAAATTATAGTAGTTGAAATTTTGTTATATGTTTTAATGTTGTATATTTTGCTATATAAATGCTGATGATTTTTCTTCAAGCAAATTTATTACTGTTCATGGATGTGCTAATTTGAGGGAAGGTTCTTTGTGCGGTGTTAAGTTCCTGTCCAGTCTCTAGTCCCATTCAAACAACATTTATTTATTGCATTGCATTCTCTTATGGGCATTCTTGTGTTCTCTCTGCTGTTTAAATTGGTTAAAAATGTTGTTTTTGCAATGATGTGAACTCAGTTTTATTTTTTTGGTTGTGGAAAATTTATTCTTTTAGCACACTGAGATGAGCCAGTTTCATGTTAGCAGTTTAATTTAATTGTAGACCTATGGTTCTTGAAGTTGTGAAGATGAATCGCAAAATGTTCCACGAGAATGATCCATTAAACCTCTGATTGTGTGTAATTTTGACATTTTCGCCATTAATTATTACAACTCAGAAAATTGTAGTTTTGGAATTACCAAATGTTGCCCCCTTATTGCTACTAAGTATTACTCTAGGAATGTAAAATTTTCATTATAAAAGAAATGAGCACTCCTTGTAGGACTAAACCTTGCAGACGCGAGTGTACTTTAGTGGATTTGCTTATGTTTTGTCCCATAAGTCTATGCCTTCTGCACTTTTGTGGTATGGGTGGTATTAATTGCTTCACGCAGGTTTTGAAATTTTCCCGAATTATTGATTTTTATTTGTTTCTTCTATTTGCAGGGTCTGGCAATGGTGATGCACAAGAAGCATGAAGGCCCAGCTGTTTTCGAGATGTTAGAAAGGGCATCCGATCTTGCTCGCCAGCAAAAGAAAGTAAATAAAGAACGGAACATACGGATTTTAATAGCACAGATGCATCTAATAAAGGTGAAGTGACTTTAGCAGCCCTGAAAAGAATTTCATTCAGTGAAGAAACAACTTATAATTTTTTTTGTCCTATAAAAGTTCATAATCGATTTATAGAAACAAAAGGTTCAAGGCTAGAAAAATGGTCACATCTCTTGAAATTTTATAAATTTTAATACATGTATACAGGGAGATTTGGAGTCAGCCTTGGAGAAGTTTCAAGCACTTATTGATGAGAATCCAAGGGATTTTCGCCCATATCTCTGCCAGGTTAGCTGAATTTTATTATTCCTTACATTTTTTGTTTTTCACTTTTACGAGAAATCTCTTGCAAGGATGGGTTTGTGAACAAAAGCGCTTCTAACTGTTTAGAAACCAAATATATTTCCGGATGCTATTGATACACTAATTTGGGGTGCAAAAGTTCAAAATTTACCTAACCTTTTTGGCTTTCAAATTTTGATTTTTCCTTCAGGGGATCATATACAGCATGCTTGACAAGAAAAGGGATGCTGATGCGAGCTTTGAAATATACCAGAGTCTTGTTCCCAAAGAGTTTCCGCAGAGAGACTTCCTGGATGACGTCGTCTTGTCTGCAAAAAAGGAACCGAAGCAAAAGCTACGAAAAGCACTGCAAAGCTAGGCATGTCTTTTTACCCATAAAAATATTTAGGATGCAGTTAATAGCTTTGAATGATTGGCTGGCTCATGAGTGCAGTGATGCATGCAGTATTTTGTTCTAGCAGAATTTTCAACTCCTTTTTAGGTATTAGAATCAGAAAAATGATGCATTCATTCTTGGAATAACTTTATTAGTTCTATGAATATTCTTCACTTTGATCTTTCTGTGTCTTACTCTTAAAGAAGTTCACAATTAAAAGGTAAAACTAGAGTTACAAGTTGTTGTTATCTTAGGTGTTTGAAATCAAAGACAATTTCATGAATACTTAAATCATGAAAGATATTGGGAAGATTTTTGTGAGCATATATTATAATGTGGCTTATGTTGGCGAATAGAGGGGATAAATATTTGGGAACAAATGAAATGATGGAAGGAAAAATTGTGGATGACCGAGGAAAATAAGGTGTGTTAGTCCATTCCTAAAAATTATGTCGAATGAAATTAGCATACAAGTGTGAAGCTGCCCTTCATTTTTTAAAAATATGTAGACTTGAATTTTGGAGCCTGAACTTAGAGCAACAACAATGGTGTCGATTTCTATGGCTTCTTTCTCAGGCAACAAAAAATGAACATGGAATAGTGTAAAAATGGAGGCCAATTTCTTGACAGAGCTTTGACAAAGCCTGATGTAGCAGAGGTACCATCGAAGCCCCAATTTTTTTCCTCGGCTACTTTATCCCACCAAAAATATACTTATCCACTACTACTCCCTACCCTTCTTACCATCAGAAATGATCTTGTTCTTAAGGGCAGGATTCCAAAGACCAATCTCTGTCAAATCTTGTAACAAATGTTTGTTTACCACAGCAATCTCACTGTTGAATATTATATCAATGTAAAAAATCAGAGCAATAAACAGACAGACAGACAGACTTGTCCATAAATAAACCAAGAATTTGTAGATAACCAATGCCTTAGAACTCCGCGGTCGTAGTAGATATTGGATGCATAAGGTTCAAAGGACTCATTGTTCCCAAGAATCTTACTAGTTGAAACGGTTGGCGAGGGTACTACAACAAGTGAATTCCTCACTCCTTTTTCAACTATCATGGCGCGAAGAACATCTCAGTCCCATCTATGAGAAGGCTTCACTTCCCACATATCCGGCTGAAGGATATTCCGAAAGATTCAAAGCCAATTGTTAGACAACATAAAAGTGTAATGTCATTTCCCCTTCTACATATCTTCAGAAATTTGTTTTGAGTCGAATTATTTGTTCATTCTTGTACAGCGTTTTTTGAGCATTTCAAACATCGTAAACAAAACAAATCATATACCGTTGAAATTTGAAAAAAAATAAAAAAATAAAAAGCAGGAGAATTTACCTTGCTAACAGTACAACCAGCATATGATTCGTAAGGGCCTTCTTTCTCTGCTAGTTCACACGACGCCTTTAGTGCATGATAGTATATGGTTTCAAATAAGAGTAGACAACATGAAAAACACAAGAAGTCAATTTTCAGCCATCATAGGACACAATTCTAACCAAAGCAGATCCAAATGCATGTCATGTATCAGTTTCAATTTAAAAAAAAAAAAACCATAAATATATCAAAATAGAAGAGAACTAGCCACACACGATCATGACACCGATATTAGACATTAAACCTCTTATTTCCGAAAAGAAATGAAACCGATCATAAAAACAACTGATCAGACTTACTGAAGCATAATCAGCAAGGCTAGCCATCGTAGCAGCGGCAGTGTCGGCAGCCAATTCGTCAAGCTGGCTGGTTGTGACTCTCTTGTAGACACCTGCACAGACTTTCTGCGAGACCAAAACCGGATCGCAATGCTCAGTGTTTAATCCATAACTCAGCTTCTTTAGCCTGGCAGTAATTTTGTCAAAGTGAACGGCTTCTTTTTCTCTCATCTCTCTTCCCCACTAACATTTTGTCGAGTAGGTAACAAGCAAGGCAAGATGGATTGCTTATGCTATCCTTCTCCTATGTCTATCCCGCCAATCATACCTCACCTCATAATGCAATCTCGGATGGTCGGACACTAGCTTATCCACAGAAGTTGGCCTAGCACCGGTCTAAGAATGCAACGTCCACGTTGCACCCAAGGATCATCAACTGCTAGGCCCGTCATCAATCAACACGCTTAACTTTAGAGTTCTTTCAATAAAACTTTCAAAAAGGAATGTGACATGAATATTTTATTTAATTCATGTAATAGTTTGATCTGAAATACATTGATTTCTTTTTTGAAAAGCCACCGTATAAATGATCAAGAACATCTTTTTCTACTTTTTATAAATGTGATATAATCCTCAACAATCTATGTGAATGTGACATATTCTTTTTCTACTTTTTATAAATATGCATATTATTAATATGATTAATCTATTCTATCTATTTAAAATTTTATCATCTTTCACGACTTATATTCGACTATGGGGATATCACATCATCTGCAAGCCACTCACTCATGCGCACTAGGGAAGTTTCTTTAGGAGTCATCTATCCTTAAAAAATTACTTTAGGATAAATACACTAACTTTAGAATTCTTTCGGTAGGATTTTCAAAATGACCATGCATGAGAAACACGGCCGTATTTGAAAAACAAGAGAGTGCATGAGGAAAGACACGCTCGTGTATCCTCCCGTGTTCTTAAATTACGGTTGTGTTCCTCGCAAGTTTGGATTTTTTTTAAAAAAGAAACTGATTAAGGTGAACACGGGAGACAAAACGCCCAAAATCTCCTGTGTTCGGCAACGGCGACTGCTCCGGCAGCTCTAGGGTTTCCGGTGGTGTTGGTGCCGATTTCAAATCTAAGAAAAAGGTTTATTTTTGTCTTTGTTTTTAAATTTTTTCTCGATTTACTTTTATTTGTTATATATTTGAGATTGTGTTATAGATTTGGATTTAAAAAATATCTAATTTTATTATTTTTTTTAATATTAAATTAGGTTTTGTTGGATATTTTTAACAGTGTATATAATATTTTGTCTTTTTGTTGCATTTAGGTCTTTTTTGGACAATGTAGAAGTGACACTATGATAGGACGGGAAGGTAATAATATCATCTGACACACACACGGATGTTTTGCTTGGTGAAGGATATGATGAGTCCGAACGAGTTCAAGGTATGTAGCTTTTCAATTATTTTTTTGTATATCTACTCGATGTGAACCTACTTTTATAATAGTACATTTTTTTATTAAATATAACATGGTAAGTTTGGCGTTTATTTTTTACACATAAATTTTTTAATATTAATATTAAAATGAGTTATAGTAAAAAGGACAAAAATGTTCTTATTAGTATTGTATAATATAAAAGTAATGACATTTGTGTAATATAGTGTAAGTTGGAAAGGTATTTATTGTGTTAGGTAGACAGTATAATTACTAAATTAGGAAAGGGTAACTTTGTTTTGGAACGGACAAAAATGAAAAATAACAACCTTTCAATGGGACGGAGGGAGTATTAGTTTATTACTCCCTCCGTCCCGCATAATATGTCCTTATTTTCTATTTTCGTCCGTCCCACATAACTTGTCCATTCTATTTTTGGAAAAATAACCGTCCCACGTAACTTGTCCTTTCTATTTTTGGAAAAATAATTATACACTTTAATCACATTTTAAATTTTAAATTTTATAATTTTTTTAAATTTTAATTAAACTATTTAGTTATCTTAATCTTAATCTATAATTATTTTTATTAAATAATAATTATTTTTATTAATACACTTCTTAATTATCTACTAATTATATTTTACTTAAATTCTCATATCTAAATATGTGGAACAGAGGGAGTATTTGTATTTAATGTACTGATGTACTTATAAATATATAATGATCAAATTATTCAAAATATAACAATGATGCAATTAATTTGTGTTTATTTGAACTCAAACATGACCATGTTTGATAATAAATACAATCATGTTTGATTAATTTTGTTACCGACATCATTGTTTGATAATAAACATGCCGTGTTTGTTTCAAACAATACGGCCATGTTCTTACTACTAAGATATTTTGAGTTCTTTATCTTAAAATACGGGCGTATTTTTTTTAATATGATTGTGTTTGAACACATTCACGGAAACGGACGTGATTTAGGTTCAACACGGAGTGTTTGGACAAAGTGAATGAAAAATATGATATATATTTAAATACAATTATATATATACCCATATACCCACACACTCGCGCACCAGACGATAATGTCCTCTCAAGCGAGAGATGTTTTACTATTTAATCAACAAGAATTTGACCAACCGTGTTTTATGTAAGATAACTGTATTCGATCCGACTACGATTGAAATTACAACTGTGTGAGACGAAAAATATTTATTTTTTTTTACGAGGCTAGTTATAATAATTATTTTTTTAATAAAACCTAAAATTTGTAAAATGAATTTGATTAAGACTATTAATAAGTTTTGCTCTCTCTCTCTCTATATTTTGCTTACTTTGTCAAGATTGGAGTGTGTTTTTTTTTGTTTGTTTTTGGTCTAACTACCATGTAGGCCTGATATGTCACCAACCAAGCAAGTCCCGCTACCACACCACCAACATCACATCACGTGCCGCCGAATATATATATATACGCATATATTTGATTATATTTCCCTTCTCGCCTTCAAAGTCCACCAATCTTACTCCGCGCTTCATCCACCACCATTTTCGGGTAAGCTTTCTCACTTCCGTTCCACCATTTGTTCTGAGTTTCTGCTTTTGGAATCGCTCCTACCCTTATTTGCACCGAATTAATCTGATTTGATAATCTGTTGAACGGATTCGTCTGACTTTTGTTTTGTTTTGTTTTTAATTGAAAAGCGTATTTTATTTGATATCCGTTTGCATTTTTTCAGGGCTTTATTTTTGCTTGTCCGATCCTGGCATGCATGGCATGTTATTCGGTGCTTTGCTCCTTTTAAATTTAAATTTAACATGTCGATTCACGGCGTCTTCATTGAAGATTTAGAGAATTATTGATTTTTTTACCAAGTTTGAGTATCGCTAACTTACCTATTCAGGAGTTGACCTTTAATTCTATATGAAGAAATCTGGACTACTAGGGTTTATGTTGATATCTGAAAATGTTAGCTCGGACTTTGTCTGCGGTCGTCTTTTCGATGCTATTAAGTTGTCTTTTTTTTTTTTTGATCGATGCTTGAAATGCAGTAAGAATTATTTGGAAGAGAATTTGAGTGTCACAGAATGGGGGTCAAAGGCTTCCAAGGTCTCCAGTTTCCCACATTGATAATCCCTGAAAAAAATGGAAGAGAAGCTAGCAGTCCTGTATTGTTTCTTCAGATGAATGAGAGATGGAAGCATCGAATGGCATCTTCTTGTCATCTGCTTAATAGAAGGGGAAGATACAGCAGGCCTTTGGTGTTGAAGGTTTCATCGTCATCTGATTTTAGTCCAGGTAGTTAGTTAATGAAGTCAAATGCAGTTTGTTATTTTATATTGAAAGCCTATGGGTGAACAATTGTTTCTTTTGGTAAGAATGTTTTGCTGGTTTTGCTTTCTCTGTTAAGTTTGGTCCCTTTCAGTAGTTTTAGAATGACAATTTTTTCTCCTATGTTGTATTTACTGCTAATTGGAGCTTGGAATCATTCCAGAAAATGTTAGAAATTGTCTTTATGATTGAATTATTTCTCAAAACCATTTTTGGAATCTATTCAGTATCCTCAATTCTTGAAAATGATTATATCGTTGTAGTTTATGATTGCCTAGCCATACAATGGAAATCTGTCAGTAAACTTTTATTAGCAAGTCAGCACATTTGGATTGGGAAACATGATTTTCTTCCGTCCTTTCTGTTGCTGCTCCAACAATGGATAATAGTAGTAACTTCAATTGCAATACATGGCATTAAATAAAGATTTAACTAGTTATTTAGTGATTAAATGTTTTGCATGTTGTTGTCTGCTGAATAACTGTGGTTGCCAATTGTGTGTGGTTTCTTCTCATCAACCTGTGTGGTGTCTCTCTCTATCAGTTCATCTAAGTTTTCATTGGTTTGGTGCAATGTCAACTCATTCACATTTCATGAATACAACGTTGTTCCCTCATTACATTGTTCATACTTCATTAGCATGCCAGTTTCAGTTAAGCAGTGTTGTTGTAGACTTTTACTTTCTATTAACCTTTAACAAAGAGGTTTTTAAATAAGCTTAAAAGAAATTTATTGGAATTAAAGTTCTGTTTTCTATAATTCTTTAGCTTCTGTGCTGGATCCTGGAAATTCAACCACATCATTGGATGAATCTAAGACCTTAAAAGTAAGTTCTTACAACAAGATTTCTCAGTTATATATAGTGTCAATATCTTGCGTAATCTGTATGCATAAAAGTGAGCTTCGGAATTGATTCTCTGAAGTAATTGAACATTTCAAATCAGTTTCTTGCTCAATGTGGATGTGCTTGCAGAATAAAGCGGAAGATGTTGGACAGCATTTAAATGGAAAATGTATTTATCTTGTTGGTGGGTAAACAACAGTTTGTTAATGGGTATATCAGTCGGTTGGGCCGTTAATAATATTTTTCACTCTCTTCATTTGTTGAAGGAATGATGGGATCTGGAAAAACAACGGTGGGTAAAGTTTTGGCAGAAGCTCTGGGATATTCATTTTGTGACTGGTTAGTCATTATTATTTCTACTATATCTTGCCAGTGAGTATAGAACGATAGATGATTTGTTTTTTGAAAATTAACTTCTAAAATGCTGCATACCTTGCTTAATATGTTGCATAGATTTTCTATTTAGAAGCTAAAGCTGAATTTTCATTTATTCATGTAACTTTAACATCCATACTGTGCAAATGATACACTCACCTTCGCCATATGTCATGTTCATAAATGAATGCTATGCTCCTTATAAAACTTCCAGTGATACATTGATAGAAGAGGCTGTTGGTGGAAGCAGCGTGGCTGAAATATTCAAGCTACATGGTGAGAACTTCTTTAGAGATAATGAGGTTAGTTCATTTGGATTGAATGAGCTATTTCCAATCCCAACCCTTAACATGAAAGATGTAATATCTCTCTTTCCTTTCTTTGTGTTTCCCCACAAATTTCCTTTTCTTACACTTGAAAACTTCCCTTTCTACGCTCCTCTTCCCATTTCCGGTGATAATGTCTTAAAAAATAAATGACCACATCCTCATCTCCTTTACATGTTGCAAAAAATTACTGCTAGTTTATATTCAATTTGTTGTTGCTGAAAAGATCCTCTGGCACCGAAAATATTGTCATGTGCTAACACTGGCTAACCACATGATAATTTTTAAAACTAAATATTAACGTGAATTTAATTTTTGAAATGACAAACTGTTATAGTTTGCCGGCGTTCTGTTTAATCCAAAACTAGATTACGCAGAAGTACCACTTAGATTCCTGATTTGGCTATTATTCATTTGATTTTTCTAATTGGAGAATTCCATCATTTGCTTTAATTTGAAATACAAATTCAATATTACCCTGTTCCATATATTATGTTATTTTATCCTATTTGGATGTCTCAAAATTCATGCCACTTTTCATTTTTAACATGAGTTTTAATGTTTTATCCTTATATATACAATTTTTCCTTATTCAGAACAACATTCCAAACAAAGGGGTAAGGGAAAAATAGACACATTATTATTTAAATTATACCACAAAAAACAAGCAAATGAATTGAGACGGAGATAGTACTGTTTAGTGGATTTTCCTTTTGTCACAAAACTGCTCCTTGTTCTAGTAGACGTGAATATATTTTCTTCAGATTCTGCTCAATGTAGTTTTTGAACTGAAAGTTGCCTATTTGATATTTTGTTATCATTGATAAGCATTTGTAATTTAGGGATCAAATATGCTGAGGCTGAAATTTAGCATACTTCTTTTCTTCTTTTGAAATGTACTAGTTCCTTTTCTTCTTATTGTAAAAAAAAAGAAAAAAAGAAAAACCCGAAGGAATGCACACATTTTTCTAGGTTTATGATAAATGGCTTGTTTTTCACTTTTTTTAATTTTTCCCTTTTCAGACTGAAGTGATACAAAAGTTGTCTTTGATGCATCAATTAATCATTTCGACAGGTGGTGGTGCAGTGGTTCGACCAATCAATTGGTAACAAAATGCAAAAATTTCTATGAACCCTACCAACTCCTCAATCTGTTCAGAGGTTATTTAACTATCTATTTACTGTTTTTCAACAAGTTAGGAAACACATGCGAAAGGGCATTAGTGTTTGGCTTGATGTATCTTTGGAACTATTGGCACAAAGAATCACAGCAGTTGGAACTGATTCTCGGCCCCTGTTGCAGCATGGATCCGGAGATCCTTATTCAAAAGTAGGCCATCGAGATTTTAAGTTTGCAAGAACTCTCTTGGAAGATCCAATTTGCACTCTAATATACACCAAGCTGTTTATATCTTGATTTTGCTTCCACTGTTTACAATGTTATCTGTTGTGGTTTGATCAGACCCTGAAGCTGCTATCCAGCCTATTCGAAAAAAGGGGTGGAGCATACGCTAGTGCCGACGTGCGTGTTTCTCTTGAAAGTATGTTCTATTAATACCACTGCCAGTGCCATTAACATGTTATGTTGCAGGATATGTTCTGACAAATTAAACTCGGTTTTTATGATAGATATTGCAGCCAAGCTTGGATCCACAGATGTATGCGAACTCACGCCGACTTTAATTGCAATTGAGGTTTGATTCCATTTCTTTTGTACTCCTCGTGAGCATTTCGATCTGATCTACTTTTGCCTTGATGTATCCTGCTTACATTTACATATCGGCTAGGTGCTTCAACAAGTTGCAAATTATTTGAAGAAACAGGGAGGATGATAACAATTATTCCATTACAGTGTTTCACTTGGTTGGTAAGTTTTGATCCTTCAGTTCTCTAATCCGGCCTGATTTAGAGTAATAACTATACTCTATAACATGGCTCTTCTTCCATCTCTATCTGCGTGTAATAATTAAGATTTTGCATGCTCTCTTTGTAGTCTGATCACTGTTTGATTAAAGAGTGTGTTTGCTTTGGGTTTGATATTGATTTTATTTATTTTTTATTTTATTTGAATTTAGTTTATATAGTATTTTGATTTGATGTTCTGCAAAAAGATAGTGTAATTTTATGGAAACCATACAAGATGAATGGTTAGATTTTGGTTTGAATATGATTGCTTTATGTGTGTGCAATAATGTAAGGATGAAATAGATAGATGAAGATGTTTCTTTTGCTGTGTTATTTGAAAAACAATTCATTTAACCATGTTATTTTAAGTTTTTGAAGTTTAAATTCTTATATAAGTGACACTTCTAACTTACCAAGAAGAGGTATATGTTCATCCATCAAATTTTAAAAAACAATTTTATTTTAAAGAATTAATTCACATGTAAAGCTGTTAAAATGAGTTAAACATGGTGTATTGGCAATCCACTCGAATTAAATGAATGTTGGGTACTTTTAGGGCGTGTTTGTTTGGAGGTTTGGATTTTGAGTTTGAGATTTGAATAGTAAAAATTATGAATTTAAATAGTTTGTATTATGTGATTATAAATAAGGGTTGATGTAATATTTTGAATGTAAAATTATTATTATTTTTTTTTGTATAATATAAAAAATAAAAAGGAAATGTTTGGTTTGATGTTTTTTTAGGGAAAAAATTGGATGAATAGTAGGATTTTTCCAAAATCCTTCAAACAAATCCTATCTTATTTTATTTTATTGATTAAAGTCCTATATAATAATTAGAGTAGGCAAAATTTAATCCGACACGAAATAATTGGGTTTGGATCAAAGATTTCAACCCGTATACAACTTGAACCAGACACGACAACCTGATTATAATATATTAATATTGATTAATATATTTATTATATACGTAAAATAATCATAATTTAATAATTTTTTCATAAATTAATTTAAACTAAGTTCAATTTTAAACAATTCAACATAATTCACGCTCAAACCAATAAAAATTAATATAACACGACAAAAAATAATTTAATTTGAATCAAGAATTTTGACTTAATTATGTATATGAGTCAACACGAACCCGACACGATAATAAACGGGTAATTTAACTCGTTGAAAGTATTCAATCCGACACGAATCGATCCATTGCCAGCTCTAATAATAATACACTAAGGTGCGTTGCTACACAGGATTAGAGTGGATAATTAGGATAGGATTAGATTATCCGTCCCAATTTCATGTTTACTCTAATTCTAACTATAGATCCGATATTATAGTAGTATTTTGTAGGATTAATACTACAATTTCTTCCCCTAATATTATATAATCTCACTTAATAATTTCGAAATTTTCTAACTTTTAAACATTTAAACTGTAAGGTAATTTAATCAAGTAAAATAAATATGATAATAATTAATTTTGTGATGATATGATCTAATTCAATAATCCCATCTAGAAGTGAGCTATTTTCATTCCAGTCAAATCTGATGGTTACATTATATGAACATCTATATAATATACAACTATTTAAAATACAAAAGGCCCTGTATACATAATATATCTAACAGTATTATAATCCTTATGGATGATTTTGATTGGTGGGGTGTTGAAGCCAAAGACCTAAACATATAATATAATCTAGAAAGTGAACAAAATTCAACATCAACAATTAACCTTTTGGACTCATTCATTAGAGCAAATGGAGTTTTATTCCTTAGATAACATTCACATCAATATATAGATAGGCCAATTTCAGACAAACAATAGATGCACAACACTTGTATAAGAATATTATTCATACAAGGATCTTCATCCTCCAAACACAACATATACTAATTTTTGTTGTCAAGGCACTGCTCAATCTGGTGTTGCCAATTTTACACCTGTTTTCGCCCAAACTTCCATTAGAGGAGGCGGTCGAATCCAATATGATGTAGAAGGTGTGTTGCACAACCACCTCACTAATACCGAACCTCCAGCCATTAGATTTTATCTGCCAAAGAAAAACTTAAAGTATAAAATCGAATAATAAACATAACTGTCCACACCGAAAAAAAAAAAAAAAAAAAAAAAAAAAACTTTGATGAGCTCCATTACAGCTGTTCGAAGCTCTACTGGTGCTTTGCTAACTCACATATTGCAGAAACTAGTAATGATCATTTACACACTTCATGGTATCTTAACATCAATAAGCAAAGTTCGATATAATCTTTTATTAGCACAACATCTGGACCTTGCCGTAACATGTTAAACAATAATCTTGCTATTTCTTTAGCAAATAAATACACACAAGCAAACCAGGTTGTCAATTCTCTGAATCGAGTCTTCTTGGCTATAAATCATTTTAGATGCCATAACATGGAATTTAGCTATTTTGATATTTCAAAACGACTACTCAAGGGAATGAATGTGCAGTTAAGACAATAGGATATTACATGATCCCATTTCATTATTTATCCATACTTTAAAATCCAATAATGCACATTAAACTGCAAACAAAGTTCCATAAATTAACCAATCACTTCTACCATTCGAAGTAAAATGCCAAGAAAGCATAACAAGAAGGTTATAAAAAAGCATGCATTCAATTCAAAACAAAGGATAATGGTGGATAAATTATATTGAAATTAATATCATTCAAAGTGAATAATAATAAGCCATACCTCCTACCAACCAACAGAACCACAACTACACAAACAACATCAAAATTGAACTGCCAAGCAATGTGAAATCGAAGCCCCTTTCGGGGCCACAAAGATCACATCCATCTTCAAAATAGTACCACTCAACCCTCCATCAATATCCCTCTTCACATCAATCTCTGCACACATTATATCAACCTCCTTCCCATTCCCATTCCCGTTCCCTTTCCCTTCCCACACCACACACAACTTCCCTTCCAAATTCACCATTGTCGAACTACACAAGAATTTCGGCAACCCTTTTTCCACTCCTCTCAACTCCTTCCACACATCCTCCTCCACATCGTAGCCCCGAATCTTCCCTAAATAATCGTAACAATACAATACATTGTCTACCACAGTCGCCCGGCCCCTCCAACCCAAGTCCAACCTCTTAGGTACATTCCCCCACTCTCCACCCCCTACATCATACACAACCCCTCCTCTATCCGCCATTGCATAAAACCTACTTCCAATCATTGCACTGGCGTGCATCCACTTATCCCTCAGCTCAATTTCACTAGGAACTGCAGACCACAGCCCTGTAGAAGGATCAAAAACCTCTGCCCAATTTATTGATCTCGACCAATTATCCACATTACATCCACCTATCACATATATTTTCCCATCCCATGCCCCTGCAGCAGAGAATTCTCGAGCTACCCTCATTCTCGGCCCCTTTTCCCATCTATTAAACCTACAATCGAAAATCCAAAGACTGTTAGATGGAATATCGTTTATCGACCCACCAATTACGTATACTCCCGGCCCTAGGGTTAGAACGGAGGACCCTACTAAGTGCTGGGGCATGGATGGGAGGGGAATTAAGGTACGTTTCGCTGTTGGAGGATTCTGCTCGGAGTACCAATGGAATGAAGAATCTATGCGCAGAATCAGGTAGAGTGAAGACTGCGTCGTCCGGAGGCGGGATCGTGTACGGAATAGCTCGACGGAGTTTACGGCGGATCGCCATGATTTGGAAACCAGCGACAGGACGGGGTAGTGGAAACGCGGCACTCTTGCGAGGACTTGCAGCGATATATCGTCCGGGAGGTTCGAAATGAGTGGCTGAAGACACGACGGATCTGAGCCGCCGGCGGTTGTTGGGTCGGCCATTATTGGGATTTGAGATCGAGGGTGTGGACGAGAATGAGATTGCTGCGCTGACTATAATGGCATGTTTAGTTTTAGTCCTTATAAATGATAATATTTGCAACTTGCTGCAATTGCAAATTTATCTTTCATTCTACCAGGGCTGCGAAAAACATTATTCCTCTTATTAATAAAAATACGTTGGTGTGTTTGTTTACCGGGTTTTGATTGTTATAAAACTTTTTTTTTTTCAAAAAGTTATTAAATTAAAATTTTATTTCATTATTTAATATATTATGCTTAAATTTAATACATTCAAAATATGTTAGTATATACATATTTTAATGTTTATATTTCATCAATACATTTACTCCGTCTCATTAAAAGAGTGACGTCTATTTTTTTTAGGATAGATTTTCTAATATTATTATTATATTGTATTGTAATAAAAAAAATATTATTTGTATAATATCATATTAAATTAATAGTATAATTATTAAATTAGAAAATAAAAATAAAATTTTTTTTGAATAGGACGGGGAAAGTATATTACAACATTAAATAATTATATCAATTTAAAATTTACTATTTAAAACAGGTTATTTAATATATGGTCTGTTTATTTAGAGATAAACATGGAGGGGAATATTATGAATGAAAATGAGATTCTAGAGATTGTGATATAATAATAATTTATATATTATGTATTTGAGATCAGTCCTCAACGAATTTTACTTTTATATTTATTTCAATTTTAGAAAAAAACAAAGATGAAATGCCAAAGGAGTGTAGGTTTACGGTTTTGATTTTTTGTTAAAAAAAATAAAAGCGTGTTTGGCAATTGGCTGGTTTGACTAGTTGATTCGATTAACTGTTTTTATTAAAATGTTTGGTAAAACAACTGTTTGATATTAGCTGTTTACACGTAAAATGACAATTGAAGATATTTCTATTTTATTATTGTTTCTAATATATTCAATTATGTTTTTTTTAGTTTAAAATATTTAAAAATTTTTGTTATTTGAAAATTATAAAAGTGTTATAAAAGTATTTATTTTTATTAAAGTTAAATTTAAAAAATAATATATTTTTATTAAAATATATAAATAGTTTTTTATATTGAAAATGATGTAAAATATAAAATAATAAATTTTTCGTGCATATATTTATTATGTTAGTTATCTATTAGTTCATTATATTTATAATTTTTAATAAATTTAATTTATTTTTAGTATAAAATTTAATTTTAATAAAAAAATAAATTATTAATATTTATATTTTTTATTTTCTGTTGATTTTAATAAATTTATATATTTTACAATTAAAATAATTTTTATATAAAAATTAATTATTTTAAATTTATAAAAGTAAAACTATAATATAATAAAATATTCTAATATAATTAATAAATAATCAAAATATATTTATTTGTGTAAAATTTATAATAAATTTTAAAGGGCATATAAGAAATAAAAAAATTTTTACAGAAAAAATTATTTCAAAACGTTGGGTAAGTTAGCTTTTCAGAAATTAGCTTTTTGGGTCCAAAAAATTATTCCAAAAAGCTAATTTACCAAACATCTAAATTAGCTTTTTTACTGGTCAAACAGCTAAAAGCTATTAAAAAAGCTATTTGCCAAACACCCCTTAAATCTTTAGTTATATATATTATATTTTATAATTATTTCATTTGATCTGTACAGATTTTGGTGTCAATTCCTGAAGCATTCAAATCTCATATTGTATGATTTTTTTTTTTTTTTTCAGATTTGTTTCATCATTTTTATATGATTTTTTTTTTTTTCAGATTTGTTTCATCATTTTTATATAATTTTTTTATCTTACTATTTTGGGGAAGATATATAATCACCTTATTTATTTTTATATTTTTTTATAGTATATAAATAATTGTAAAATATATAAATTTATTAAAATTAATATAAAATAGAAAATATAAATATTAATAATTTATTTTTAGTATAAAATTTATATAGTATAAAATTTATACTAAAAATAAATTAAATAAATTAAATTTATTGAAAATTATAAATATAATTAACTAATTGATAACTAACATAATAAATATATACACAAAAAATTTATTATTTTATATTTTACATTATTTTAAATAGAAAAAACTATTTATATATTTTAATAAAAATATAATAAAAATAAATACTTTTATAACACTTTTATAATTTTCAATAACTAATAACAAAAAAATTTAAACATTTTAAACTCAAAAAAACATAATTGAATATATTAGAAATAAAAATAAAATAGAAATATCCTCAATTGTCATTTTACGTATAAACAGCTAATATCAAACAGTTGTTTTACCAAATATTTTAATAAAAACAGCTAATCGAATCAGCTAGTCAAACCAACTAATTGAATCAGCTAACAGCTATCAGCTAATTGAATCAGCTAACAGCTAACAACTATAAGTTAGTTGTCAAACACGACCTAAATATTATATTGATGATACCGTATATATTTAAACATATTAATTTTTTTAATTGATATATAATGTTGTATTAATGTTTTTTATTGTTAATATTTATAATATTGAATTCTACAATTTAAATTTTACCTTAAAGTTGTATTTTTATGTCCATGAAAAAATAAAATATTTTATTTTAATTGTTTAAATATTAATTATTCATGTTTCAAATGAATCGTGACAATTTTTGTGGAGATTTTTTGTAAAATAATTATTATTTAAATGTGATATCAAACTTATTATTGTGGCAATTGGTGTGTCAAATAAATTTGTGGCAAATTATATTGCAAAATTTCATGACAGATTATGTAGTAATAGTAGCTACACTACTCATAGCCACTAGATACATTTTTATGGCTAATTTTATAACAATTTCATCAGCTACATATATTTTTTAAAATTTTTATATCTAATTTCATAGAAATATAAATGTTTTGTTGTTGTGCTATTTGGTAGTATTGAGTCATCGACATGAAAAAATAAAATAATAGATATGACCCAATATAGAGAGGTGGGGCGGACAGCCCATGATAGGCCCAGGCTGTGATAGAAAGAAGCCCAAATACAATAATGTTGAACAGACCTTTTGGATTTTAGATGTGACAAGGACAATGCTGATTTGACATGATCAACATATATTATACATATATTTATACATAATAAAATATATGATGACTTATAACAGAAGATGTGTTGAATTATAAATATACCGATATATAAATATATATATAGATATGTAATAAGTACCTCTATAACAGCTGATCTATATCCTTTTCGGGATCAAATTAGAAAATTCAGCACCAAAAAGTCAAATAAACCTGGATGCGTTGGTTTTCGAAAATTCGTGTGCTTCTTCTGGTTGAATTTGAAAAAAATTCATTTGAATTTGATATTAAAATAATATTTGATAGAATATTTTGTGAAAGAAAAAAAAAATATATATATATATATTTTTATAAAAACACAGTCCAAATAGTAAAATTTATCTAAAGAACAGACCCGATGATTCGACGGCATATATGCACAAAGCTCCACAACAAACAAAATGAAACCCCACCCCTAATGATCACACAATAACTTAAGGTGTATTTCTTTACATCCCAAACAATCTGAATTGTTTTACAAAATATCTCATGATATATTAAAATGATATATTATTTTAATATTAAATTCAAATTAATTTTTTTTCTAAATTTATCAGAAGAAACAAACCCTTACTTCCATTCACGCACCAATATAATACTCATAATCTACAAAACCAATCCACAAGATTCTCATTTTATTTCTTACACACACATCCATCCATATATCATGTATCCTATCTATCCACAAAACAGCATATATAGATTCTTCCTATACATCTTTCCACCGATTTACCTATCCATCAATGTAATGCCTCTAAGGTAATTGTCTTAATTAATTCGATCTACCAAGAACCATTTCTTGATTCAATTAGGGTTCATCATCGGACCACTCCTCAGCCTCGTAAAACAATCCGTCGACAATGTGGTCGATCACTGAATCGATCAAGCTGTTGCACCCCACCGAGAACACGCGCCCCACCCGGCTCCGATTGCTCGAAAACCATGCGAAGACGGCCGCGCTCGCCACCGCCGCCAAACACACGCCGGCGCCTTCCTCAAGTCCCTCTATCTCCAACTTCCTGAATATCGAATTCCCCGTCGCAATCTCCATCCCTACCGTAGCTGCAAACACAATCTGTAGATATATATTTTTTTAATTATTTACTAATTATATTACTCTTAAAATACTATATCTATAATAATAAGGACAGCTCCAATCCACTCAAAAAATTTAGTGTTATGCAAAAAATTGAGGGCGGGGCTCAGACCCACCCCAAATCAGCCCCCATCCCCCCTCCCCCAACCCAAAAATAATATATAATTTTATTTTTTAAAAAATAATGTACTATCTCCGTCTCACAAAATGAGTAACATTTGCTTTTTGTACGTAAATTTTTTAATATTAATATTATATTAGTTTATAGTAGAAAAAAAAAAATTGCTCATATTAAATTGTTTAATAAAAAAAAATAACATTTATATAATATATTGAGAGTAATAAGAATATTAATTATGTTAAGTAAGTAGTACACTTACTAAATTAAAAAATGATATTATTTTTATGCAGCGGAAAGTGATATAATTTTCTGTCAAAAAGTGATATATAATTATATATATTTTTAAAATAATATGTAATTATATATATTTAGGTTATATTGTAAAAATAATTTAAAATGAAAATGTAATTTATAAATATAAAAAAATAATATAAAATAATATAAAAGATTAATATCTAGAGAATATACCAAAATTAAAATTTATGATTAAAGTAATACTATTATTATAGATCAACTCTATTTAGCTACTATAAAAATCAAATAACGAGTCGTAAATGGTCTAATAATAATATTCTCAACATCCCATATATCGTATATCGTGTCTGTTACACTTTAATAAAAAAGAATATAATTAATAAATAATTAAGAATGTATCAGTTATTTTATAATATAAATAATTATAAATTAAAATTAAGATAACTAATTAGTTTAATTAAAATTAAAAAAAATAAATTAAAAAATTTAAAATGATATTAAAGTGTATAATATTTTAAAAAAGAGAGATTGAGCGTGTAAAGGATAGAACGGAACGTGGACGTGGTACATGATGGTACAGAGTAATAATTAATGAGCGTCCGTACGCACGCACCATAGCCAGGCGGCCGGAGATGATCTCGAAATCGTGACTCTTCTTGGAGCTCTCCACGTAATCCGTGAGGACCTCGAAGAACGGGGACACTCGATCGTCGCCGTCGTCGGCCCTGATCAGCCGCCCGCCGGAATCATCCGCGAACGACCGCAGCGTGCAAACCCTAGGCTGCAGCACCACCTTCCCGGCGACGTCCACCAGTTTCACTTTCTGAGTTACCTCCGAGTCCACCTTCTCCGCCCCCGCCCTAATCCGGCAAAACAGCGGCGGTCGGGCAGCGGTCAGCGCCATAGAATCGGATCAGATCAGATCTGAGAAGGAATCGAAATTGCCTGTATATCCGAGAGCGTGGGGGCGATGAATTTTTAGGGGAGGGGCGAAGGTCCACGTCGATTGGAGGATATGTGGAGAGAGTGCCGACCGCTGACGTAGCTGTCGATTGATTTACTATATATTTATATCGGAAGGTTCTAGTGACTCAACAGTACTACTGTGCGAGTGATTGAGCATGAATTGATCGATGCGTAGAATGTAGTATATATGTATAGTAATCGACCCCCACGTGCCTGACCTCGTGCACTCACGTTTTGCCACGACACTTATATAATTTATGTGGTCCATTTTATTATTATTATTATTATTATTTTTTATAAATTGAGAGTTTACGAATCATCATTTTTTTAATGTTTTTTGCGAGAGTGTGTTAATTAAATCTGACAAGACAAATTATACTGCACGAATAATGTGTGTCAATTGGAAGGCGAATTTTGAACCCAAAACTTTAGTTGTCAAAATAATTGGAAGGAGTCGTGAGTCCATTTCATCTTAAGTAGTGATGTTGTGGGTGATGGAACGCAAGTTTTGTACTATTTGCAAAATAATTGAAATAAGAAGTTGACAATATATATATATATATAATGTGTATTTTCCAAATGTAAGTGTAACTATCATATACTCATAGGTCCCAAATTAAAGATGTCTTTTCGAGTTTTGTAATGTATTAAAAAATAATTGTATTTTATTAATTCGGTGGAAGTTTGTAGGAGTTTGATTTTTTTGTCCTTTGACTTTATGTTTAAAACAATTGTGTGTAATAGTGTGTTTGTAATTTAAGTAAAATTTAAAAGATATTTTGATAATAGTATATGATTAATTTTTCTAAAATAGAACAGTGATACTTAGACGTGAGACAGACAAATATGGTAAAAATGATATTTTGAATTGGAACGGGGAGGGGAGAGTACTATATAATATGATTTACATAAATTAGTTTTATAAAAAAAAAAAATAGAGTTTTAAATATAGATAAAATTATTTGTTTATTGAAAAGAAATAAAAATAAAAGAGTTTTGAGTTAGTCATAATATAAAATATTAAAATTTAATTAAATTAATTTATATTTATTAAAAATATTTTAAGATTGAGCGGATTGAAAAGGAAAATGAGTCACCGATCTTGAGACGAAAGTATATTCTTTCAATATTTTTTTCCTACACGTTTTTTCAAAAAAATATTAATATATCACACATATTCATTATTTTTATATTCTTTATACAATTTTTTATATTTCACATAAAAAAAATATTTATTCAAATTATATCACAAAATAAACACATAATTTACTTATCTAATTAACTCATCGATTTATATATGTTTGAAGAATATTAATTTAGAACTATAAAGTGTTAGGCTTTATTAATTTGTTTGTGAGTTTGATTTGGATTTGAATTTGAATTTGGAGGTCGATTTTGTAAAGTTTGTTTGTTTGTGAGTTTGAGTTTTATAACAAGGTATGAAATTGTAATGGGATGAGAGAAAATTAATGTTAAGTATTTAGTAAGTTATTACCAAAAAAGTAAAATTAATTTTAGGTATTTAGCAAGTTATTACAAAAAATATATTTTTTTTGCCTCGCTCGAAATAGCATAATAAATGCTCAAATTTTAGGCAAAAGATGTATTTGTGTCGATTTTATGACAAATCTTAGCCTTAATATGTACTCGTGTAATGAAAAATTTTTGCCAAAACAATTTTGGTGACAATAATGTCGGTCAACACTACCTAGTCACATATGAGAAAATTTTGTAACGACTTTTATACCACAACAAATAAAATTAAAAAAAAAAATTGTTATAGAAACACGACTAACAAAAAAATTAGTACAAATAAATTTCATTACAAACATAATTTTTTATTTTTTGTTACAACTTGCTAAACATAAAATTTTGTAGGGTACTTGTTATACAAAAAATGTAGTAGTAAAGAGCTTGAATTATATTTCCTCATAACTAATGCGAAATTAGATATCGTACACAACGAAAACATCGGAACCAAAATCATTAAAATACAATTAACATCATAGATCGCCCGATAAGATCTAAGGCACGCTAAAAGTAAGTAATATCCATTCAACCACTAATGATGCTCAATAACACATTAACGAACACAAATATCAATTCTCAACAACAATACTAATACAATTGCATTAAAAAACAATAAACTACGAATACAGTTAAGTTAACGGATGATATCAACCAACAAGTTTGTAAACGGGATGATGATCCCAACATAAGTAAGCATGAATCAAGAGCGACAAACAAATTTTAGTGAAATGTAGAGATGTATTAAGCTAAGTTGCAAGTCAATTAGACAACTACGAAAAATACGAATTAAACTAAAAATTCCTACATCCTTGTATGTCAGTTTAATCAGATCAACGATGAACACATCTCGAATCGTCTCAACTCCAACGATTGTCCGTAGAATGAATGGTATATTGATTCCGGGTTGAAATAGATAGAAGATTGTTGAAAACAACTAAATTTAAATAAAAACAGATCGAAACAAACAACGGGTTGATCTAAAACAAAATCTTAAGTTGTTTTTTAATTAAAAAGCATTGAACTAATTTCAAAGAAGAATACATAAGCAAATAAATAACACAATTGAAATCAAATAAGCAAAGAATAAGACTTTCGGAAAACTAAGGTAAAGCTAAAATCAAGTTAATTTTAATATATAAAGAATGAGACTTTCAAAACCAACAATTAGCACAAAACTAAAGCAAAGATATCTAGATGTTTCTAAATTATATCTCCAATTTTGATCACTTAAATATCGACTTCTCCGTCGAAGAGCTTAAAATTTAACGATTCATCTTAATAATGTAGGACAAAATATAACTTTATAAGAAATTATAATTATGACTCACTTTTATAAAAATCATTAAATATATAATTTTATAAATTTGACTTTAATCAAAACAACAAATTTAATATTATTTGTATCGTTAACCTAGTATCAATATTTAAATTTATATATATATATATATAGTTATCATATGAGGTGTTTGGAAAAGAACTTTTTGAATAGCTTTTAACTCTAATTTAAGTGTTTGGTAAATTAACTTTTTGAAAGAATTTTTTAGACAAAAAAAATAAAAATAAAAAAATACTAATTTCTAAAAAAACTAATTTACCTAGTTTTTTTAAAGAGCTTTTTCACTTTAATTATGTTTATTCATTATTTACCCTTAAAAACAATTTATTTATTTCATACATATAATAAATATATTTTTATTGTAGTATTTATTAATTAATTTTAATATATTTTATTTACTAAATTATAATTTTATTTTGTAAATTTAATTTAATAATTATTATTAATTATTACATATAAATTATTTTATTTGTAAAATATATAAATTTATTAAAATTAAATCAAATAGAAAGGACAAATATTATTTATTTATTTATATATATTTTTATTATATAAAATTTACATTAAAAATAAATAAAATAGAATAAATTAATAAACAATAATTAACATAACAAAAATATATACGAAAGATTTATTCTTTTATATTTTATACATCAATAAAATTTTGTTATTATTTTTTAATAAAATATTTTTTTTTCAAATTTGAAAAAATAAAAATAAATATTTTATAATAGTGTTATAATTTGTAATAATTAATTAAAAAAAATTTCAAAAATTTAAAATCAAAATAAATATTTTATAAAATACCATATAAATATCATTAATTGTCATTTATATATAAACAACTAATATCAAAAAGTTGTTTTACCAAATACTTTAATACAAACCGCTAATTGAATCAACTAGCAGATAACACAGCTATCAGCTAATTGCCAAACACACACGTAGTCTAACTAGAGACTCAAATAAAATTAATTAATATTGATTACTGTCTCTTTATAATAATAACTATGATTTTTATTAAAAATAATGTGAAATAAAATATAATGTTATAAATAATTACTCTTTCTTCCATGTAAATTTCGAATTTTTCTGTTTTCGCATGTTACACTTTAGTTATATTTTAAATTTAATAATTTATAATTTTTTTTTACACTTCTTACTTATGTATTAAAATATGGGCGACAAATTCAATTTTAAATTTCAAATTATTTTGAAAAAAGAGATAAAAAAAGAATAATAGTAATATAAATAATTAAAAAAAAAGAAACAAATATGGGGCAAAATTGAAAGAAAAAAAATAAATTAAAAAATAATGAAACAAATCATACAAAAAAAAAAAAAAATTATAATAAACTTGGGAGATTGGATTAGATTATCACTATTTATCTCATTTTTCCCCAAAAATATCAAATCAAACACCTAATTTTTATTTTTTATATTATACTAAAAATCAAGTTTACATTCAAAACATCACATCAACTCTATTTATATCACATCATACAACTATTCAAATTCAAAATTTTTACTATTCAAATTTTAACTCAAAATTCAATTCCCAGACAAACACACCCTTAAAATAAAAGTGTAAGCCTCAATTCTCCCAAAGAAATATACAAATAATATTATATATTTTTTATTTTATTAAAACTAAAGAAATATCTTAATTATAGATATAAAAAAAAAAGAAGATAATTTATATTATATGGGACAATCAATATATAATAAATTTAATTTTAAAATTTAATATAAATTTAAATGAACATGTGGTTGAATTTAAAATATTATCTATAAAATATATATATTTTTATTTATACATTTTAAGAGTAAAAGAAAACATATTTAAATAAAAGCAATATTTATTCGTAATCAAATAATATTTTTTTAATTTTTATAATTATCAAAATTATGAATATTGAGTAATTGAAATATTTTTTCAAATATATATATATATATATGATAGGATATGATATACTCACTCCGTCTCATAACTAAGTATTCATTTATTTTTTATATGTTGATCTTTAGATATTAATTATTATATCAAAACGTATTACAAATAAAAAAAAATTACAAAAATATTTCTATTAGTGTCTTATAATACTAATACAATGATATTTGTATAAAAAATTATGCAAATATAAAAATATTTTTAACGTTAACTATAATGACGCAAAAGGTAAATGGATACCTTGTTATATACACGAACATACTAAAATAAAAATATTGATTCCTTTGGCTCGAACCAAATGAATAATTAAGATTAAAATACTAATGTGACATATACCGTTTTTCAAAAATTAATTTTTGTAGGTCAATAATACTATATAAAATTTATTAAATATTTAAATTAACTATTTAGTCGGTCAAATAGCTAAATCTGTTCAAAATGATTATTTCCCAAACACATCTTAATACAAATATAGGGCGGGTTTACTTGTGAAATTTTGCTTTTGGTTTTACCATTTTAATAACTTTTTTTCTCCAAAAACATAAAATTAAATACATATTTTTTATTTATTATATTAAATTAAAATTTAATTTTACATTCATAATATCTCATTAATAAATATTTATATCACGTTAAACAATTATTTAAATTCAAAATTTTACTATTTAAAACCGAAATCCAAAATTAAAATCTCACAAATAATCCCAGTCGTATACATATTTAATTTTACATTAAAAAATATTACATCGATACAGAGAATATATAGGAAAGATCAGTTCCGATTTAGTCAGGGATTTGAAAACAGTAATAATAGTAAATCGTAGTAACAATCATTTATCGCCCCGTAATTGTAGCTCCGAATTTATCGCAACCCATTTTCCCAAAATCCCCTCCAGAAACGAAACCCACACTTTAATCCATTAATTCCCTCCTCACATATCGCTTTTCACTTCGCCGGAATAACAAACCGCCCAATCCGCCGGCCGGCCGGTCGGTGTCGCTGCTAATCAATCCCTCTGATGGTTTTCCGGCGGCGGCGATGGCAGACGACGCCGCACAGCACCCCAACAATTTTTCCCAGACCCTAACTCTCGAGCAGCGCTCCACCTCCTCCAAGAAGAAAAACAAGCCGTCGAAGCCCCTCCGCGCCTTCCGCAACGCTTTCCGATCGTTCCCGATCATCGCTCCGGCCTGCAAGTTCCCGTCGCTGCCGGGGGGGCGGTTCCCGGACGGGAAGTCGCTGCGCGTGACGGGGACGCTCTTCGGGTACCGGAAGGGGCGCGTGAGCCTCTCGATCCAGGATAACCCCCGGACGGTGCCGACGGCGGTGGTGGAGCTGGCGATGCAGACGCAGGCGCTGCAGAAGGAGATGGGGCAGGGCATGGTGAGGATCGCCATGGAATGCGAGAAGCGCCCCGACAAGGACCGGACGGAGCTCCTGGAGGAGCCGCTCTGGACCATGTTCTGCAACGGCCGGAAAATGGGTTACAGCGCCAGAAGGGATCCCGCCGGCGAGGATCTGCACGTGATGGAGGTGCTCAGGGCTGTGTCGATGGGGGCCGGTGTGCTGCCCGGCCGGCCTGACCTCGACGACGGACCCGACGGGGAATTGGCCTACGTGAGGGCGCATTTCGACCGGGTCGTGTCCAAGGACTCGGAGACGTTATACATGGTCAGTCCGGACGGGACCAGTGGTCCCGATGTCAGCATCTTCTTTGTTAGAGTTTGACGTTTCAATTTGTTTTTTTTTTTTTTTTTGATAATATTGTTAGGGTTTGTGAATAATGTTGGGTGCATTTAGGATTCAATCATGTGTGTATAGTGTACACACATTTTTGACCAAATTAAAATAAAATGTACTGTTATTAATTTGTGGGATAAGTTGTTACAGGGATATAGCAATGGTAATTTTCTTTTTTTATTCAAAACAACACTTAAATAGCTTTCTGGATGCATGCATGCAGTTATTACACATGACATCCTTTGTCCAAAAAATAAACTATATACACACAAGTGTATGTATATATATATATATATATGACAAAAATTAACCCGATTTGATAACCTAACTGGAACCTGACCTTGGAACCTGACTTGAAATAATTGGATTTAGATGGAGATTTTTGATCTAATTAATAATTGGGTCAAACTCGTTTAACCCATTTAATTAAATGAGTCAGGTTAAGATCTGCATTTTCGACCTGAAAATAACCCGTCTAATCTGGTTAATTAATATTATTTTAAATTTCAATATATTTTCTAAATTTTATCAATACAAGTCAATATTTATGGCCAATTTTATAAAAATAAATAATAAAAACAAAAGATTGTGTTGTGTACTATTATGTAGTGTTTGTTATTTCGATTATTGAATATCCATTTGATGATATGAATAAATAAGTTTTTGCTTTAATATATATATATATATTATGCATTTGAAAATTTTGTTAGTAGAAATTGTAATTTTAAATTAAAAATTTAAAATTTTAGACTTAAACTAGTTATACAGGTCAGATTCAGATTGACTCAATTAATAAAAAGTCAGGTTAATGTTGCAAATATCAACCCATTTAATTAAATAGGTCAAGTTCAAGTCAAGGGTTTTGCAACCCTTTTAAAGCTGACCTGAACCTGAACCTGACCGATCCGTTTACCGGTCCTATATATAAAATCATCTCCAACCCACTGCATACAAAAAATGGGGGGCTCCAACCCAACCCTAAATTCGTAACACTGTTACTCCACTCCATTTTTGGAGTAGAGTTTTTGTGGTATTTTTTATATTTTTGATATTTTTTTGGTGTATTGTGTAATTTTAATTTTTTAGTAGATGATATATACTTTTATATTTAAAAAAGTTGTATGTAATTTTATTTTTTTTAAAAAAATAATGTATAGTTTTATTTTTTAAAAGTGATATAATTTTAGTTTTTGGAAAGTAATATAATTTTATTTTTTTAAAAAAATAATGTATAATTTTATGTTTTAAATTGATATATAATTTTACTGTTGAAAATTAATATAAATTATATGTGTATAGTTCTAATGTAAAAATAAATTAAAATTGTAGTGTAATTTATAAATATAAAAAGTTATATAAAATAATATAAAAGATGAATATATAGGGAATATACTTTTTAGAGTAAAAATTGAAATTTATGGTTGGAGTAAAGTTACTGTAGATCAACTGCATTTTTACTGTAGCAACTGCAAAAATAGAGTGGAGGGTTGGAGATGGCCTAATGTATGTGGGGATAGCGACCTCACGGTCACATGTCTATTATGTTTTATATATATCTTTTAATACTCCCTCACTCCCGCGGAAGATGAAGCCTTTTGTTAGGGACACGGTATTTTAGGTAATGTAGGTTATTAAATTATTAATAATAAGTTAAGATAATATTTTATTATTTTTTATATGTATAATGTTGTTGGTATTTTAAATATTTTTAGAATTATATCTCAATAAAATATATTTCCTCTGTATTATATTGAGATAAAATAGAAATAAAGGTAAAAAGACTAAATTAACTCTATTAGTATTGTATGATATAAAGGTAATGACATTTGTGTAATATATTATAAATTGGAAGGGTATTTGTAATGTTAGGTAGATAATACAATTACTAAAAAAGGAAATTGATACTTTGTTATAGTACCGACCAAAATAGAAAAATTGATAGATTGTTAAGGGACAGAGGAAGTATGCAATATGGATATCATTGTATAGATAATAAAATTTTATATAATACAAATGGAAATAAAAATGAATAAAAAAATTTATTTATTTATTTATAATTATTATAAATTAGTTTTATAAAAAATGAGGAGTTTTAAAAGTAAATAAACATATTTATTAATTGAAGAGAGATAGAAATAAATGGGTTTTAAGTGGGTCCTACGTGTAAAATGTTAGAAGTTTAATTAAATTGATTTATATTTGTTAAGTATGTTTAAGATTGATGAACTTACCAAAAATGAAAAAGAGTCATCTTTTGCGAACGTACTAAAAAGGAAATGAGATCATTTGTGACGAGACGGATGGAGTATTATTTTTGTTGGTAGATTGATTCAATCTTTAGATTGTAGTATCGCCTTTTATACCGCCCTTTTCTTTATTCAAGATTGTCGGAAAAGACGGTTGATTGTCACCGGTCGTAAATCATATGAAATTTACTATTTTTCTCTAGTTTCGTATTTCTCTTAAGTGCCTACATCATACATCACGATTACTGGTCCAACACTTATTAATCCACATTTCGATCTCCTATATCTATATAAGTTGAAACACATAGCTTCTTATTTGTCCTTATGGTTGTCTTTTGAGCGTGGGTAGTGTCATCGTTTAAAACAATTATCATGCATTATTTCCAAATAGAGTATGCAATCGGCCTTCTTTGCCCTTTTATTTAATATACTACTCACTCCGTTTCAATACAATAGTTTTGTTTACCATTTTTGTCCGTCCGAAAATAATAGTGTTATTTCCATAAATAATCATATCACTATAAAACTACCTTTACTTTTTCATTATTATTACACAATTGCCACTACTTTTTACACTAATACACTCACAAGGGCAAAAAAGTCTTTTACCTGTACTTTTTATCAACTATCAATATAATATCAATATTCTTTAAATCCCGTGTCAAACACAACTCAAACTATAGTTCTGGGATGGGATGGAGCGAGTATGATATTTGAGTTTCTAGTTGCACATTGTCTATTTTTGGATTTCAATATTTTGTTACACTTGAAGGTGATTTTCCCATTGCACTTGGCTCTATTCATTGAAAATTCATTCCAACTTGTTCTCTTTTAAATTTTTTTTTTTTTTTTTTTTTTTTTAATTATATGTTGAAATTCAAACTTAATTTTTCCTTTTGGCTAAGATATCATTTGTTCACTTGTTACTTTATGTGGTTGACTTCTTTATCAGATGGGCATTGAGAATGATTTCATCTATGGTGATTGTCAAAAGAATATTTTTATAGAGCAACCACTTAAGTTTGTTACTTATGGGTAATTTTGTCTTGTGTGTAGGCTTTATCTCTGCAATATATAAAACAATTTTATGATGTTTGGCATAGACATTTTAGTGCTACTATATGTTGGAATTTGGGATTACTTAGTTGTAAATCATAATAGTTTTTAGATAATACATTTCATAATAATATTCCTTACTCATGCATCTCGCAGCGTTTGTTTGGGGGTTTCGATTTTGAGTTGAGATTTGAATAGTAAAATTTTTGAATTTGAATAGTTGTATGATGTAATATAAATAAGTGTTGATGTGATGTTTTGAATGTAAAATTGATTTTTAGTATAATATAGAAAATGAAAAATATATGTTCGATTTGATATTTTGGGAGAGGGGGGAGAAAATTGGATGAATAGTGTAAATTCAATCCAATCCCCCAAACAAACACACCCTATTGATTATTATGCATGCACATACTCACAGAGCTTTACAATTAGAATATACTCCCTCCGTCCCATATAATATGGGTATATTACTGTAGATGCACGAATTTAGGTAAAGTATAATTAGTAAGTAATTAAAAAGTGTATTAATATAAATAATTATTGTATAGTAAAAATAATTATAGATTAAGATTAAGATAATTAAATAGTTTAATTAAAATTTAAAATTTAAAATGTGATTAAAGTGTATAATTATATTTTCAAAAAAAGAAAGGAAAAATTATATGAGACGGACAAAAATAGAAAATAGGGACAAATTATGTGGGACAGAGGAAGTATATTTTATAAGATTTGTTTATTTTTCACACTATTATATATTTTATATTTGCTTCTTTTTTTTCTTTTTTTTAACTATATGTTTTTTATTATATTTTTGTATTGTTTGAATTTTTTATTTTTTTTCCTTCTAAATTACAGGTTGTAGAAAACATCACAACTACAAGATCAATGATTAGCTACTTTTAATCTAACTTATACTAGAATTTAAACTGAAATATAAATTTTGTAAGACTTAATTTATGATTCGTATTATTTAATTTTTGTTTTAGTTAATATATTTTATTTATTTATTTATTTTTTGTGTTTATCATTTGAATTTATTTTTCAACGAAAGATATGAATTCAAAATCGCATTACTTAATATTCTATGTTTGTTTTATTTTGGTTATTATATTTTTTTATTTTGTATAGTATTTGTAACTGTTTTTAATCTAACATAAATACTCCTTTAGTCTCGGATCCTATGATCGGATGATTGTAAACACGAAAATTTAAGAAATATATGGTTCATAAATATAAATACAAATAATTAAGGACAACGTAGACGCAAGATGTGAGACGAAAAAAAAAAAAAAAAAAAAAAGATGAATTTAAATTGGAATATGTATATATGACATTTGATTTAATATTGGCATTATTTTAATTACTATATTTTATCTTACATATTTTAATAATTTCAATTTTTATTTTCATTAGACAAATATCGAAAAACTTACTCGATTAATTAAAATGTCAAAGAAAATTGTGAATTTAAATTAGGATACAAATATTAAAAATATATATTATAAATTAAATTATATAGACATAAAATTGATATTAAAATATTATAAATAATCGTTTATAAAATATTTTGTTTATATATCAAATATATATAGATTTTAAATTAGGATATAAGAAGTAAAATTATCCCTCCCTAAAATGAAGATATTATTATTTTTTTTTTTATGTAAATTTTGAAATATTAATATTTATATGTATACAATACAATAGAATAGAAATAGATAACTTTATCTTTATGGATATTTTATGTTATTGCTATATTATGTTGGTGTAACTGTTGTTCTAATAATAGGTAAGGTGTAACTATTTTTCCTAATATATGTTGAGACCATACTTACTTAAAAATAAAAAAATAAAAAATCAGATGAATTAAGAAAACAAAATTAATTAATAAATTCCAAACTGATAAAGTAGTATGATTATTTTTTATAAAAATTGGTTGCGGATAAGGCAAGTTTGTTAGAGCATGCGGCAAGATACCCATCTCAGATGATAGGTCAGTATTTTGAATTTTAAACAAAATAAAAAAATTTTGTGGATATCTTTGCGGAGATACTCATTAGATTTTTATTTTTTGTTTTATTTAATTTTTATAATATTTATATTTTAATTACTTTTATATTTTTGTATTATATAAAAAAGTTTATTATTTACATTAATGATATATATTGATATATATATTTAATTTTTTTTAATTTTAAAAATAATTAATTTTAATATAAATATAAATATTATTTTTTTAATCCGAAAAGAGAGAGAATATGATGCGGAGTAAAAATAATTTGACGTGAAAATGTGGAGATATTTTAAGTGGATAGGCCATAGCATTATTAAAATAGTGATTTATGGTGATTCTCGTTGCTGGAATAGGATTTTGAAAAGGATTCCATAGCTGACTAATTGAGTTTTGATGTCCAATTGCACGAAGACACGTGTAATTCAGAAGAGTCACCGTCTATCCGAATTTAGTCAAAAGAACCCTATCTGTCGTTGAAATCCAAAATCTACGTTCAACTTCAACCTTGGTACGATTCGATCATCAATCGAATTCTGTTTTGATTGTGGCGCCGAGATTCGTATCTCCAACAACCACTGTTAAATCTCAAATTTTAGAATCCACATATGCATGTTTATGACTATATATATTAGCTAGTTGTTTGAATCCCCAGGTTTTAGTTGGGAAAGGCATTGGAAAGCAAGAGGAGTAGAGACTTTTAGATATGGCTTCATATTCGCCTGGTTAGTATCTCCAAATTTCTTCAATCGATGATCTCTGTTCACTGTTGTTTTGATTTTATACAGAATTAGGTTTGTTCGCTTGTATATGTGTGCTGATTTGATTCACACATTCGTAAATTCATGAATAATGCGATTCGGAATTTGCAGGAATTCTGCTAATTGTATTGATTTTGTTCTGTTTTTTCTGATAATTACTGCAATTTGAATCTATTGTGTTCTATTTAGTTTAGGGCAAGATCTGAAGTGTTGAAAGTATGGAATATAGATTTGAATACTTCACTCGCAACTCAAATCGCTCAAAATTATGCGTTGATTTTGATTAGTTTCGATGCATGACCTGTGGATTGTTCAAGCTTTTATCGAATCCAACAGTCTAATTTGTATGTAGTTTGGTTGTGACTTATGAGCACGATTTGAAAAAGTAGGAAAAATTCAGAGATACAAAGCTAACATTCATGTTTTTGCTGCATTGTTGTGCAGTAGTTCTAATTAGCTTTCTGCTTCTCCTGATTGGTGCTGTCGAATGCTCGAGGCCTCGTTATCCTCTCCCTAGCGGTCGAAAGGCGCGACGACTCCAAACATTCCGTCCGTTCAACATTGCTCATCGCGGTTCCAATGGCGAAATCCCGGAAGAAACTGCTGCTGCTTACAAGGTACTCTGCTGCTTTATTAGCATAGCTATACCGGGCAATGGGTCGAGTGTGTGTCGGGTTCTTATGGGTTTAAATACTTTAAACGGGTTAAATCATTCAACTCTAACCCAACATATTTATTATCGTGTCGGGTCGTGTTGACATATTTATTATCGTGTTGGATTCGTGTTGACCCATATAGATAATTACGTCAAAATTCTTGATTCAAATTCAATTATTTTTTGTCGAGTTATGTTAGTTTTTGTCGGATTGTAATGTAATATATACAGTGAATTAGCTTATTAATTAATATTAATATTATAATTGGGTTGGATTTGAGTTGAGAGCTTCAACTTTAACTCGATCCGTTTATTATCGTGTCGAGTTCGTGTCAACCTTTGTACATAATAGGGTCAAAATTTTTGACCCAAATCTAATTATTTCGTGTTGAATTGTCGTTTCGTATCTGTTTTTGCCGGCTCTAAGCATAGCATACTCTCGTCATCATTGTATCAATGTGTGACAAACTAATCCCGAATTACAGAGAGCTATCAAAGAAGGAGCTGATTTCATCGAGACGGATATCTTAGCCTCCAAAGACGGCCACCTCATATGCTTCCACGATGTGACGCTCGATGCCACCACCAACATAGCCAACTACCCCAAGTTTTCCAACCGGAAAAGGACTTATGAGGTCGAACGAGTAAATGTCACCGGTTACTTTGTAGGTAGGCGCCTCAGCAACATCTACATACATTATTGCATTATTTTTAGTGAGATGATTATTTAATATGATATCAGAGCATAATTGTTATGTTTTGGTATAATATTGATTCCGGTTAAGATTCGATTTTGAAATAAATATCATCTTGAGCAGGAGTATTAATGCATGTGTTTTTGTTGTAGTCGATTTCACATTGCAAGAGCTGAAGTCGTTGCGAGTCAATCAAAGATACTCTTTCCGTGATCCACAGTACAATGGTTATCCTCGATTTCTCTCTCAACCATCCTATTAAAAATGCTGCATCGCTTTTCATTTTGGTTTGATCGTTCTTCTTTCTCGACAGGAATGTTTTCCATCCTCACATTCGACGAATTCATCCAAATTGCGCTGGATGCTCCCCGTGTTGTCGGGATATACCCCGAGATAAAGAACCCCGTCTTCATAAACCAACGAGTAAGTATCTTTCTCCATCAAAGACAATTCCATACCTCGATCCAACATTCATTATACTCATCGTCGATCTCCTCCAGGTATCATGGCCCGACGGCAAGAAATTCGAGGACAGATTCGTCGGGACGCTTAAGAAACACGGGTACAAAGGATCATACCTATCCAGACAATGGCTGAAGCAACCAGCCTTCATCCAATCCTTCGCGCCGTCATCTCTTCTCTACACGTCGAAGCTAACCGACCTCCCCAAAGTTCTCCTCATCGACGACATCACCGTCCGAACCCAAGACACAAACCAGGTAATCTAAATTTTTAACAATTTCCTATCCTCGTCGAAACAAATTAATTCAATTCGGACTAAAACATCGAGCCTTTTCACCTCAGTCGTATTGGGAGATAACATCCGACGAGTACTTCGACTACATCAAGGACTACGTTGTGGGGATCGGTCCGTGGAAGGATACCGTCGTCACCACATCCAACAACTACACTTTGACACGAACCAACTTGGTCGATCGAGCGCACAACCATAACCTTCAGGTACGCAGTTCTCAAGTATTCGATTCGACGTTGGGAATCCGATAATATTATACACACACATACATACAATTAATTCAGGTGCATCCCTACACATACCGCAATGAGAATCAGTTCCTGCACTTCAACTTCAGCCAGGATCCTTACAAAGAATACGCTTTCTGGATAAAAGAGATGGGCGTCGATGGATTGTTCACAGATTTCCCCGGCAGCCTTCGTCAGTATCAGGATTGGACTCATCCTTCATCATCATCTTAGTTCTCAACATTATTAAGGAAGATGCATCTAAACATACTCCCTCCTGCTAATTTTTTTCTTTTCCATTTTGTTTTTTTCTTCGCGTTTTAAATTTGTGACATTTTTTATTATGCATTAAAAAAAAGAAGAGAGGCTCGAACAGGCCTGATTTTGAATTCTCTTTTGTATGAATTTGAAATAGTAAAATTTTGAATTTAGATTGTTATTTAATATAATATATATTATAATATTTTAAATAAAATTAATTTTAAATATTAATATAAAAAAACTAAAGGCACATAATTTCTCAAAACAAATGCACCCGGTGGGTTTTTAGTTAAAACGAATACACCTCGGTAGTGTCTCGGTTTGTGGCGTAACGTTTGTACGGTGAGAGGTTTGTTGGGAGTGTAGGTTCATTGTATATGGGTGAATCTTCTCGGGTAATTTCCATGCGACTTGATTAGGCGGAAAGGGTCACTAGGCTGCGATGCATCCCTACGGGAGCAACCATCGGGAAATGACTTGGCCAAAAAGGATGGAGAATGTTGATACTTTATGGCCCAACCCGCAACCCAAAACCCTTTAACCCGACCCGGTTTTCTGACCCGACCTGACCCACACCTTATGACTCTCCCTTCCCTTCCCTTCTCATGTGAGATGGTGTATGTGTATCGCAATTCAATTTTCTCTCTGGTTCATCTTTATCGCCATTCTTCTCGGTAAGTTTGGGGGTTTTCTTCTTCACCGAAATTACAGTCATTCTAGTTCGATTCCTTTGGTAAGTTGTTCATCTGGGTGTTCTTCGTAAGGTTTTGGGGGAAATTGGTCGATTAGAATTTAGGGTTCTAAGATCGAGTCCGTTGGTTTGGGGTTTTGTTTGGAGGCGGTTGGGTTAATCCCTAAGTGTGAGTCATTATGTTGTAAACTGAGTATTCAAAATAGTTTCCCCTATCGTTTGTCGAGTCGCTTGGAAATCGCCGAAAGAGGATCATCGCTGTTGTTCGTCCGTTGCCATTAGTCGCCGGAAAAGGGAGCCGTTCTTGTTGAATGCCACCTTGCGCCTGTGATCGTTGATGCCTGGTCATTGCTGCTGTCCGGAGTTTGAAGAAATAGGGAAGTGTTTTTGCTTTCAATCTTGTTTTCTTTTTAAACAATAAATTGTGTTCTATGAGTTGAATACCAAATTGAATCAATATCTAGTGCTTGCCTGTTGTTTTTGTTGGAACACATTCTAGTTGATGCTAATTCTGTTATTTGATAGATTAGTAAAAGCACAACAGATATAAAAATAATTTATCGAAATAAATTCGATAATCAAAATATTTTATCAAAAAAAACTCGATAATCACGTCGAATCGAGGTAGAGCCTCTTTCTGTAAATACAAATACGCCCCGGTAGTGCCTCCGGTTCGTGGCACAACGTTCCCAAAGATAAAACGACGTTCGTCTCCGAATTAGGTGACACCCCAATATTTCGGAGCTCCGCCGAATTAAAATGAAGGAAACATAAGCTACGCTCCATATTTAAGAAAGAGTTAGCCGGATTTGTATTGGACAACTCATCGGAAACTCCATCGGAAAATATTTCCGGGAAGGAGATGATTAGAGAGAAGAGATCTTCTGTTGGTGGTGTCATGAAATGGGTGTGAGTGGGGCCTTTTATAGACCTCCACCCCTGTAGTTTTAATGTCGAGCCGAAACCGTCGGCTTTTAATGGTTTGTAATTGTCGGCCATAATTTCGGTAACGTCCGACAATAAACATCAAACTTAATTCCGATTATAAATATATTATTTGAATTTTGAATTTCAAATAATTATTTATCATATATGCATGTAATTATCTGGTCCGGACATATGGCACGCGCGTATGTGGCTTACCGACATTTATATGTCTAATCACACTATCAATAACCACCATAGAACCCATATACATTTTAACTCACCGAATAATCAGTTCTGGGAATTATGAATTTAATTTAAGATTAAATTTCATCGATTAAATAATGAACCGATTTTCCAACAATCCTCAACGTGAGTGAAAATGCCCATTAATTTGAACAACACACAACTCAGTTCTAGAGACATCAACACATCGGGATAGGTAGCTTGTGGTTTTGAACATTCTTTAGTCAATATTACAGTATGTACTTGTGGCCTAATTGACACGATGCATTGAACTATTCCACTTTTACGTATATTTTAGTCAATAATATTGATATGTCGTTATCTCAATCTCATTTTGTTCTTACGTTTTGATCGGTTTTGGCCATGGATCACATCTTTGGATTCATAAGTATTTTATTTAAAGCGATTTTCATTTCACACTTATGTAAGTAATCTATCTTAAAGTATCCAACTTTAATTTTAGGATTGACTCAACCTCACCACTTTGCACATGGTAACACTCGTAGTTATTTAGGAAATGGTGATCGAGTGTTCATGCCGAACTATTACGGTTTAGTTTTCCATTGAACCAAAGCTTGAGATCTCCAAGTGATTTGGGTGGATTATCATTGTAATTGTGAATTACTTGGATTATCTCCAAGTAATTGTCTCTTAATTTTGTGAATTTCAAATTCATTCCCTTTTAACATTTTATACATTTGATCATGATGTAACTTTTTGGCTAGCGGATAGGCAAGATTTTTTATTGATCCACTCACCAAATCTTGTTGTCATTTTTTATTTTTTTAATAATTTGATTTTTTTTAATAAAATAAATATGTATTAAATGTTATTAAATATATCACAATTAATAAAGTTATAATTAATATATTTTTAAAGATAATAAAATAATTAATTTAATGTTATGATTAAATTACATTATAATATAATTTTATATTCTTTATTACCCTTATTATGGATAGTGAAATATAATAAGTTTAGAATGTAATTTATGTTATTTTTATAATTAAAATAATTATATTGATTCAATAAAATTAAAACTGCGTAATTATCTTTTGTAATCTTAATATATATATATATATATAAATGTCAATAAGTCTAATAATTTTATAGTTTTTTTTTTCATTTTTTATTCTTAAAAACTTTAAAATTAATGTAACGTTT